CTCCCTGGTGCTAGCCCTCTGGCACTGGCCCTCCCTGGTGCTAGCCCTCTGGCACTGGCCCTCCCTGGTGCTAGCCCTCTGGCACTGGCCCTCACCTGGTGCTAGCCCCCCGGCACTAGCTCTGCCACAGGGCTGACGTTACTCTCACCCTGTGTGTCACAGGACAGGTGGCGCCCAAGGAGAAGCGGAGGCATCGATCACACAAGTTCCTGTGCCTGCGTGTGGGTAAGCCCATGCGGAAGACCTTTGTGTCCCAAGCCAGCGCCTCCATGCAGCAGTACGCCCAGAGGGACAAGAAACATGAGTACTGGTTTGCCGTCCCACAGGAGAGGTGAGATAAAGTGCCACAGTGCCTCCACAGGATGGGAGGTTTGATGCAAGATAATTTAAACAGTCCTGTCAAAGAACTATCATTACAGAGATGCTAATGTGTTTCACATGGCTGATAAAAAAGCCTCAAATGAAGGTAACAGCAGGAAGGAATCATAAATTTGAAGCCTTTGTTCCTCGTCAGATTCTGTTAAACCGGCCCAGCTTTAAGCTGTTAGTGTATAAAATGGAATATCATAACCCATTACTGTGATTTTCTGCCTTTTGCGAAATGCCATTTTGCAGTGGCATAAAGAAAGCACTGTAAAGACCTGATAGGCACATCTGATTGGTGATTGAAGTGGGCTGACATGTCTGCCATTCATGGATGCGGTTTGTTTGACCCCCCGCCGGCCATGACACTTCTGTGGCCCAAATCCATACCAATAAGGCCATTAAGTGGAAATTAAATACAAGGAAGCATAACATGTTTTCCACTAAACCCATTAAATATGTGTGTAGCAAATTAATCTAAGTGACAAAATTGCCTAAACCGTTAAATTGAATTTGGGAGTTTTGTGAAACCACTGGATTTTTAGCCAGGATGGCAATCGTTTGGACGTGGCTTTATAACACAGAGAGACAAAATACAAATGGCCTTTTTGTAGCCAAACAGAGTCAACACTGTCAGAAAAGAAGTATAATTTGTACCTTTTGCAATTACATGTCAATGGGGCTGTACCCTCAGGGGTCTGCCAGTTGTACCCTAGCTGTAGGTAAATGTACCTTTTTCAACACTTTTGTACCATTGGGGGTAGATTTAATGTTGTTTGTATGCTGGGGAACAAATCTGTCCCAAGGCTGTTGCCTTTTTTCTGACAGTGAAAGGGGGGGCAGACTTTGCAGGGCTCATTCTCTCTTCCCTTTGAAATTATGCGCAGTTTTTTGTTGCTGTTGTTTTCAGGCCATATAAATGTCATTTGTATTGCAAATAATTAAATACGTAGTCATCTTTACCAGTTATATAAAATATGGGAAAAATAGGAAATGTTTCATTTTGTTGATAAACTGTTAAAACTTAAGGTCATGTTTGGTTTGATCAATAAGCTCTAAGGCCACAGCTTCAGCTCTGTTTACTTTGTTCACTGCTTTGTAGTAAATTCATTCTATAATGTTAGTTCTTCTATAATTATATAATTCATTCTATAATAGCTGGCGTATTATTATTATTATTTACTGAAGGAGTTTATGTAACCCTAGTACAGTACAGTTTCTCGAACCTCAGTCTTTAGCCTTCAGGTTATGAGATCATGTGTTTAGCCACTTAACTACCTACTGCCCTTAAAGTATAAATTACATGGCCTCAGTGGAATCTTGCAGGCTTTGGGATAAACTCCTTTAACTCGCCATCCATAGTGTGACTGTCTGGATTGTTCTTAGATCAGGTGACTTCCTGGAGCTAATGTCCCTGGATCTTCTGACCCATCGTTTCCACCCTTGTCTCCTCAGGTCTGACCACCTGTATGTGTTCTTCATCCAGTGGAACCCAGACACATATGGGGAGGGATTGGGAGCCCCGGGTCGGGACCCAGGGTTTATGGTGGTGAAGAAGAACCAGGAGCCAGAGGGTGGTGATGAACTGTCCTCATCGGATGAGGAGACCAAGGAGTGGGAGGTAAAGTGTGGAGATCAAGGCCTTCCTTCATCTTAGACTCTGCTTCTTGTTATCCTGTTATAGCTTGTACCATGTGACCTCGTCTAGTGTCTAACGCTCTGATGTGACATGATTTCCTTCAGTAGGAAAATATGCATCAAATGTGCTCATTTTATAGGCCTGTGAAACCTGTGTTTATCATGTGTTTAGCTCTACAGATTGTTTTTTAAACTTGTCTGTTACAGAAAGTTTAATTTTGCATGACTGGTCAGTCACGCGGTTATTTTGTGAATTTGTCTTTTAGCTTCTTTATAGCATTAAACTGCATCAGTTCCACTGAAATTGCAGCTAATGTTTTTTGCGTGATTACAGGATCGTTTTGTGAAGCGAGGCGTCATGTACACAAAAGCACAAACGATGTTTTCTTGCATGACTCCTCCTGATGTCTCCTGTTTTCTCTCAGATCTTGTTTCAGCATGGTTTTGTTCCCTTCAGACGTAAGCTGATTTTGTTACTTTGAAAGAATGGCATTGAACGGTAAAGTGCGCAGTAAGCTGGACGCGTGGAAGTCTGTGTTGTGTGTGCAGGTATCTTATGAAAGGTGTGGCCCTTCTACACCGTGATGCTTCACCTGCTAGGCTGTAGTCTGTTCTTCACAGAAAAGATTTTTTTCACAGCGATCGCATGATTTGCTCAGATCTTCTCAAAGTTGCTTGAAAAGAAACAGGGACTCTTCGAGTAGCTGATGTCCCATCCATAATATACCAGGGGCAGCTTTGTGGTAGAGTTTTTGGAAGCTCTGCTGTGTCTTGCAGCCAGTCCTTAGCATGTTTTGTGTTGGCCACTGCTCTACACCTCACAGTATTCAGTTGCTCATTAGAGACCATATTTCGGAATGATTACCTCTTACATATCATGAGTGGCATGGAGAAGAACCATTGACCACAACCCTGGTCCTTGTGCCGAATCTTGTGTGCATGTTCTCGATGTGTTTGTATGGGTTTTTGCCCGGTACTTCAGATTCCTCATGTTTTTCTGGTGAATTGGTGACTGCAAGTTGCCCTTCATGTTCATAAATGTGAATAAATGTGTTTGTTTGGGGTTTCCTGCAATAGAAAGCGATCCGGTCAAGAGGATACAAAGTGACACGCTCTGTGCTTCTCGCGATGGGCCTCAGATTACTGTAGCCGCAGCCTGATGAATGAACGGTTTGTAAACAAGGGTGGATGTACAGGTGAATGAACATCAGGCTATTTCTCAGATGCCTAGGCTGTAGTGAGAGATATATCTGTAGATGTTTATTTCAGATTGCATCTTCTGTCTTGGGAAGGTTATACGTCCATATTAGGGGTGTGCAAAGCAGCCGGTATTTGTATCTGTATTTGTATTTGTTGAGGGGGGAAAAGTATTTGTATTTGTATTCGTATTCGAGTAAAATTCAAAATAGGCGTAAAAATCCAGTTTTTTTGCGTTGCACTTCTAATTTACGCTATAGTGTAAGTATTCTTTAATTATATCCATTATAATAATTATGGATATGCAGTAGACAGAGTAACTTAAACGTACCATATAACTCCTACAAGTGCATACAATTCGACACAACTACACAAGCATTGTTTTAACCTTTTTAACCAAACGTTAACGTTACTCTGTCAACAGCCTATTGTCTAAATTAGCGAGCTAACAGAGCTACGTAAACAGAGCGAACATGAGAGCACCTGATTGCAGACGTCAATAATGCAGCGTAATGGAATAATCTCCCGATCAAACTCTGCTTCCCGAAAGTTATAAACTGCCTCCGGAACCCAGTTAAGGTACAAAAATCTATTCAACAAAAACAGTGATACAGTTAAGTCTTTTTTCGCTCAGCCGAGCCTTCTCTGTTACTGTGTGGAGCAGCCTGTGTCAGTCGCCTCTTTTACTCCCCCCCGACTCCTGAACTCACTCACTCATCCGGGCATGCACTGCGGTCTCAAGAGGAAACGCAGCTTTTTGATATAAAGTTTTTCTTGTTCCCGAATACAAATATTTTTTTAAGTATTTGTTCGAAATAAGTATTCGTAAAAAACACATTATTTGTGCCTTTCCGAATACCGTATTCGGGTTCGGCTCCACCCCTAGTCCATATATACTGCAGTCATACATTATGTTATACTTTGGGGGCAGTGTGTGGCTCAGCAGTGCCTGTGATTGGAAGGTCGCCGGTTCGAGCCCGGCATCAGCAGGATAATCACATCTGTGGGCCCTTGGGCGAGGCCCGTAACCCCCAGCTCCATGGGCGCCGCTGCAGGTGGCTGCCCTTCACTGGCAAACTTCTCTCATCTACGTGTGCCTGTGTATCATGGCAAGCAAGATGGGGTAGGCAAAGAGAGCTTCCCCACAAGGCATGAAGTGTATTATGTACTTGCAGCTACCTGATACTTTTACTTTTGATGATACATAATTAAAACAAACCTCATCAATCTGCTACATGTAACACAGAAATTAAAGTTAATGTATTGCAACTGCAGGCCACACTATGTTCAGACAGCGTATGGGGCAATAAAAAGGTGGACACACCATGAAACTGATACAAAGGAGGAAGACATTGATACCTCTGCCAGAGCGCAAACTTAAATATTAATGTAAATAAATGATGTAGAAAACAAAGTGGATTGATTTGTTTCCCAAGGACCTGGAAGCCACAGGACCTTGTGATTTAAATATGTGACAAGGCGTGACAGGGTGGTGCTGTTGACTTACATGTCCAGGGTTGGGGGTTTGAATCCCACCTCCACCCTGGGTTTGTTCTACTTCTGAGTTTCCTCCCACAGTCCAAAGGTGTGCATTTAGGCTAATTGGTATATTAAAATTGCACCTCCTGTGTGTGTGTGTGTGTGTGTGTGTGTGTGTGTGCTCGCCTTATGGTGAACTTGTATCCCAACCACTGTGTAACTCGTCCATCTTCCCTATATCACCTGGGACAGGGAAATTAAAGATACAGTAACCCTGGAAAATGTTCCACTCAGAAACAGGCCATCACAGTTTTCTGAAGTTTTTCTATTGGATAAAATAGCACCCCCACCCCCTCCCGTGACTAGAATAAGCAATTATTAAATAGAATAGAAATGGCTTCTTTTTCAGAGAATAACAATAATTCCTTACAGTAAATAAGTCATTAAGTAGTGTGTATCTTTATGTGGCGGTATCTCCTGTCATACTCTCTCCAGGTTTCCTCTCTCTTCAACATTCTACGGACCAATAGCACTGTCTGTAATAGTTTCAAATTTAAATTGATTTTTATTTGTTTGTTTATTAAATATTTTATTTGGTCATTAGCTGGAACAAATAGCAGATTAGGGTGATTCGATCCTCTTGATAGATTATTGTTCATTACCTGATTATTGAATTGTATTTGATGTTTGCTGTTTTATCCAATAAATAAACTTGCGAAAAGTGTGCTGGTCTGTTTGCCAAATATTCCCTCAGCTTTGAGTAATTCAGGGTTACTGTATCTTTAATGTTTAGGACCGTATCCGTTTTAAAAGAGAAGGAATCAGGTTTTCTATGACCAAACCAGCGAATTGGAATCGAAGGCGATCCGTCCTCGCATTCTGATTGGTTACTCTGTGCGTCAACCAAATCAGTATCTCCGACCCCCTACTGTTTTTTTAAAATGCAATTTAAATACCTGGTAGGGCTGGATGTTTCTGCCGTGTTTATCTGGGCGCCTGCGAGTGTCTGAGGAATAACAGCCGGAATGTGACCTCCGCGGATCTGTCTTTATTGTGGCCAAGATGTTTACGTCCAGAAAAGTGAAAGAAGGGCCGCGATTGACACCGAAATACCGTTATCCGCTGGTAATACGGCTAGCCGGTTAGAACAGTTACTAACGTTGGTTAATTGTGTGTTTGTGCGTGTGCATGTGCTTGCATCTCGCGCACCGTTAGGCGCTAAGTAGCTAACGCTAATGGCTAACTGCACCGCCGAGCGTTTGCGCTGCAAAGGGGAGAGCTCTGAGCAGATGGAGCTTTTTTTGACGTGGGCACCGCGACTAGACTTAATTGGCACCGACAAGTTTAGAGGGAGGCGCCCGGTCACTGGTTACCGAGACTGTCACATGAAGGGAGTTAGATAAGCCGTCCGGGTAGTAACCAGGGAGCCGAGCAATGGCAGCGAAAAGTAACCTTTTCTGTGGGCTGTTCACGCGGCACGGCTTGGCTTTCAGATATTTTCCGTGTTGGTACACCTGGGAGTACGCAGTGCTTTTGTTTACTAATCCGGTGTCTTCCCAACTAGAAGCAGGCTGTCTGCTTAGCCGGGGTGGTATCTGTGCCGGTAATGCCTTGTTATAGACAGTGGACAATATGTATATCCTGAAACTTTAAGCTGGTAACCAGCAGGCAGCCGGTTTCTGGTTACTTTTACTTTGTCCGTCCCGATGTGCCTGTTTTTTTAACCATCCATAGACCCTGAAGGACGGCTTAGTAAAAGGAAGTACTGTAACCGCTTTAGAAAAAAATGATTATAGCGTCAATACTAGAAAAATGAAGAAAACCAGGCAATTATATTAACATGAATAAATAAAATAAAAATAAATAACATGAATAAAAGGGTCTGAAAACTGACACCATGTGATACAAATGCTGTGATGTGTGAAAGGTCTTTGCATCGCAATCGACAAAGCACGACAAATTTCAAGCTGAAGCGCTCTAAGATCCGTTGTTTTAGATGCTTTTGTATTATTTAATTTAATCAATTTAATTTTATTGCTCCTTTAAACCTACCTTGATTTCCTTTTTACCTTTATTTTGACTATTTACGTTCCGACGTCTTTCAAAAATTTCACGGGCTTTGATCTGACGTCACTGATACATACAGAGATATTCAGTGCGGTTAATATATTCTGTACGCTTGCAAAATGTTTAAACGTTCGGTAGTTAATATGCTGTTGCTGCTATTTTGGTACAGATAGGGTCTAGCTTGGTGGTGTGTATCAGATATGTTGCACAGTTCATGTTGTGTGCCCAGACTTTTGACAGACATATTTAAAGGACAGGCTCTCTAAACATGCATTTCCTGATTCATAGTTCAAGTTTATCGGTTGAATTCTTCTTGGTGAACTGATAAGAATGCTCTTCTGGGTGTGTCTTTAAACAGCATGAAGTTGAGCAATGGTAGGTCTTTGTGTTTGCTCACGTGATGTTAGACTGTTCACAGAGAAAGGCTGGCTGTGATTTCAGGCTTGTGAGAGATGGAGCAGGTCTTCCTGACATTGTTCTGAGAAGCTATTAAGAGCAACTGCCACTGTTGTTTAAAAGTATGATTACTTGGGGGTATTACACAAAGCAGGATTTTTTTCGTTAGCCGGACAACTTAAGCCAAATCTAAGGATTGTCCAGTAGGTTAATATTTCTTCATAACTGATTCCACCTAATTCAGCCTTGCATTTAAATTTCTTTTTCATAAGGGAAATAATACGGACAAACTGGAGAAGGTGACCTTTATACTGGGGAAATTGCCGCTATCAGATTGAAGCTGAAAGCTATTCCTTCAGTATTGAGGCACAGAATCCACATCCAATGAATGGTGTTTTGTCTTCGTCATAGTTGTGTTGGTGGCATTTCTGGAGGCTGTCTTGTAAAGCTGGGCTGTTTGACCAGCTGAAGTTTGCCGAATTCAAAATAAAAGAAACATTGTGCTGAAGGCATATGAATGTGACCATTTTTATTTTTAGAATTGCAATAAAAGGAGTACCGAGATCTTCTAATTACATAATCCAGCACATTGCAGTACTAGAAAGTCATTCTGTGATGAGTATATGTTCCTATTTTGACTCTAAAAGCTCACATATGTTACTGTATAATATTGTGGCCATCAAGATTTGTATGTCTTGTGGTTGAATATAGGTTTTGCAGTAGTTTGTGTGATTTTTCTGGTGAACTAACAGTCCTGTAAGGCTGGACGGCGTTTGTATTTTAACCCAGCTTCAGCAGGCAGAGTGTTAGGCAAGGTCATCACCGTTCCCTCCATTTCTCTTTCTGCTGTCTGTCCAACTGCTGTGCTCACACGCTTATCGGCCTCCACCACAGAATTACTGTTCTTCCTGTCTCTGCACCAGGTAGTGTCGTTGGCTGAGTATCACCGCCGGATCGATGCGCTAAACAGCGAAGATCTCCGTGCTCTCTGCAGGCGTCTTCAGGTGCCTCATCCAGTTCCAGAAGCCTCCAATAGGGATTCTTAGAGCTAAACAGCTTGTCGATGTGTCTGCCTAAGGACAGCCTTTCTGAAGAAAATTCCATAATTTTTTTTAAGTTCTTGTTTTTTGTTTTCCCCGAAGGTTGTGTGTAGTTTTGACCAGTGTAGCGTCTGTTTTCTTTCCCCCCCAGTGTTTTTTGGGGGGTGTCACTATGCACAACATTTGCCCTTATCTTTGCAGATAGCAGCTGCGTTCCCTTAATGCAATTCAGCATTCTTTGCCCATTAGGCTGTACGGCGTTCAACTTAGCCACCTTGTTGCTGGTCAACTTACATCTACTACAGTCAAATGAAGAATTTTCTGTCCATCTTTTTAATGAAGCTTTATTGAGCAGCCCTCATTTGCAGCGCACACTGGCTACTTTCTCGTGACGGGGTTGGGACGTGGGTCGGTGGTGATGGTTGCAGGGGTGGGGGAGGAGATCTCCGGATTGGGTTGCCTTTCTGCAGGATTGTTCGCTGAAGACAATGTAGGTAATTCAACAGGGGGAGCAGAAACTTGAGTACATTCTGTCCATTGTGACCGGACCTCTTTTCATTTGCAGTGGACCTTACAGATCGGTGTCTGAAAAATTACACATTGAATAACTGTGACTGCTCATGGTGTTTTAATTTGTAAAGTGAGATTTGTTTGTATGTGAAGGAAAAACTCTTCAGCCAACATTCCCTGCTGAATATCGCTATTTATTTTACATGTCAAAAGTTCTATTGGTTGCATTATGTTGGAAACAAATTAGTAAGCATTAGCAAATTAACTAGAGATGCACCGATTGCAATTTTCTTGACTTATTCCGATTTCCAAATATTTTGCAAAAAACAAAACAAATGTCAGTCACTCGCATTGTTTTCCAGTATGTTTAAATTCACCAGATAACACGACATTGACCTTTCCATAAAATAAAAAAGTCCATAGGTTACAAACCTCCAAATAAAACGGAAGTGTACTATGCTCCAGCAAATAATAGATGCAAGATAATGTTATTAATATCAACATTGCACATACAATTCTTACATCGCTAGTAAGATAGATTAAGATCTGATTCTCATACCTTCATAAAGTGTGGACATTCTGTAGCACAGAGGGTTAAAGTTTCGCTAAAGCATAGCTCTGTCATAGCAAAAAAACCTTAGCTAGCTTTGCAGTTTGAATGATTATTCCATTCCTTCTCAAGATTATCTAGTATATGCTTAATCAGTTTAAAGTTTGTCTCCGATGTTTCACCATGTTTTCGTGGTGGCTCTCACATGGTTTACTTTGGCTTTTACATGTATTTGGAAATCACAAGCTTCGTGTCGTCTTCACTCACAGTGATGAACTTCCACGCTAACGACAAGTTAATGTGTCTGTGCGTGAGCACACGGCTGTGAGGCTATTGCCTTCATCACTTTGCGTATGACATGTATGCGTAAAACAGACCAGTCCGGTATGGGAAATACATGAGACTGGTCGGCCAGTTTCTGGTCCGGGATGAGCATTCTGAAAATTGGCCAATACTGGTCCCTGGCTGATCAATCGGTGCATCTCTAAAATTAACCCCACGGCATGGAAGTGGTGCAAATATCCAAGGGTAATGCTGAAGTGAAGCAAATGCTAGATTTTATGTCCTATGTTCCCAGGTGCTGTTTTTGATTGGGTCATTCTGTGAATGCCTAATATGACAGTTGGTTTTGGAATCTTGCTTCTGGCGCAACTTGGATATTTGCTTTTGTTTGGTTTTGGTTTTGGTTTTTTAGGCCCTTGTTTTTTGTTATGTTGAATGAATGAATGAATGTTTTTGTAAGTTAACCTTTTATGAAAGGGACAAAACAATACAAATTTTTGACATTGCTCGATATGCATAAACGCATGTAAATGTAGCCTGTGAGCGAATTGCGAATCCCAGTATACCCCAGTGCTTTCTGGGAAGACCGTAGGACAGCGCAAAGGTACAACTCTGATTTTGTATTGGTTTGTCCCTGTATTGGTTGGTTTGTGGTGCATGAATTACACTGAGTTGGCAAAATGGAGGGAAAAGCGTGAAACTTCAGTCCAGTCTCATGTCTGAGTCATTCTCTGGGCTTCTGTGCCCCTTCCTTGGACTTCCCTGTGATGGTCTCTTCTTTTGACTTAGATATCCACCAAGGAAGAGATTAACTCCAAACATGGAACCAACACCAAGTCTGAGCTGGATCCGGAGACTTTCAGACCCAACCTGAGTGAGCCTAGCACCCTGCTGGAGCCAGAGCAGATAGAGAAGGTATCAGCACTTGGGCTACTTTGTTGCAGGTGTAGAGAAGCCCTCCATCACATCCACGAGTCAATGATCCATCATTGTGGGGGATATTCACACCCCACAACTGGGTCTGGCTACAGGAACTGCACAGAGTGGCCTCCACCTTTTGCCTTTATATTGGCCTGATTGTAGCTATACATTGAGGATGCTTATTAGCTGAATGGTCCCACATGATGTATGTTAACAGCACCGTCGTGTGTAGCGCTGCGCTGTGACATTTAAAGCTTAATAGCCTGAAACGCATGTTAGTATGAGATTGGTCTTTCTGCTGCTCTTTGTGCTGTAGAAGGTGCATGTCTCTTTTGCACTCTGAAGTTTCCAGTCGAAAAGATTACCCTGTAAAAGGGTACTTATTATGTTTGCTCTGACCCGTTCTGGGGATTAATCGAATGCTCCCTTGACATTTTGATGCGTGTAATCTAACAAAGAGGACACAATGACGGCCCAGTCGAGGGGATAGTAATACGGCAGGAGAACATGCCCGGTACTGCGCTTGATGCTAATCATATTTCACCATGTACACACTGCGCAGTGTTTGTCCTAAGATGGCTCCCGTAGTTGAGTGTCCATTGTGACACTTGGCATGGCTTGATTGTTTATCATGCTCTTTTATTTCCAGCTTGCTAAGAATCTCCCTCCCAGGACCATCGGCTACCCGTGGACGTTGGCGTTTGGCACAGCCAAGCACGGCATGAGCATAAAGACCCTGTATCGTGCCATGCAAGGCCAAGACACGCCAGTGCTCATGGTCATCAAGGACAGCGATGGCCAGGTGGGCTGCCCCCCCCCCCCCCCACTGCTGTTGCGAAAAAAGTGCCTTTCATAGTTTTGAACAAACGAAGGCTGGCTTTTAATCACATGCATGTTTGCATCATTTGTAGCTCTTTGGTGCGTTGGCATCAGAGCCTTTTAAAGTCAGTGATGGCTTCTATGGGACGGGAGAGACCTTTCTGTTCACCTTCTGTCCCGAGTTTGAGGTATGTAGTTGCTGGTGGGGTGTTGTGGATGTGTGCTTGTGCTGCTGTGTGTTACACGTTCTTCCCCGACTGGCCCCTCATTTGTACTTTCTACCTCGGCTTATTGGATAACCTGGCATAACTATATAAACCGTATCTGTGTTCCTCAGCCACACAGCCCTGCTTTCTGCAAACCCTCCTTTCGTCACTTTGTCATTTACAGCCTTATTGCATTGCACTGACCTTGATTATTTTATCTTCTATTCAGGTGTTCAGATGGACAGGAGACAACATGTTCTTCATCAAGGGAGACATGGACTCGTTAGCATTTGGAGGTGGAGGGTGAGGAAGATGACGTCCGGCGGCCAGGTCGCAGTAGTTTAAAGCGAGGGAGAGGCTGTCGCTCATGGAGTCGTCAGACTGAGATGGTCTCATGAAGTGGCACTTTATCCCACTCTGTGTTTACACTGTTTGCTCCAGCTGAGCTCAGTGATTCATCTGCTAACAGTGTAGAACTGGCCTGGCCTAACAGGACCAGAGTGCTTGTTTACATTGTGCTGCACGATGCACTGTGTTAAATGCACAGGAAGCGTGGCTGTACAGCGCAGCACAGCTAGAACATTAGCATGAGCTGCAAGGGCGGGTTGATGCCGAGCCCCAGACGGTGCATGACCAGCGATGACTCACAGCTGTGGCTCTGGGCCAGCTCCTGGGCCCGGAAGAGGAGCCGCGGCCCCCCAGCTTCCCACCGAGTCTCCACCTCTCTCCTAGCTCCCCCCCGCCGCCTTATCACCTGCCGCATTAGCCGGCGCTGTCTGCTGCCACACTAATGAGCAGACCCACAGACTGCTGCCATTTCCATCTCATATGGTCACACGCAGGGTCCTGAGTAAATAGTGAACTGTGTGTGTGTGTTTTTTTACTATTGTTTTTTTTTTTCATTCGGCTTATTAGCTAGGCACTTAGTTACACTTAGTTATAATGGTAGTTAGTTCACTGTACTAGTTACACTTGAACTGTTAACTTCTTCTTTTGTGTCTTCACTTTCAGAGGGGAATTCGGTCTCTGGCTCGACGGAGATCTCTACCACGGCAGAAGTCACTCGTGCAAAACCTTTGGCAACCCCATGCTGTCAAAGAAAGAGGACTTTTACGTGCAGGACATAGAGATCTGGTCGTTCGAGTAATGAACTGACGGGATGCTCGGGGGAAGACGAGGACGCCGCCACCGTGCGAGGGGATCGCGTCGCAACCAAAGCCTTGACGTTCCAAACCTGACTGCTCATCACCTTGGCTCTCCCCAGGCTCGCCCTGAAAGCATAACCACCCTGTCGACTGCCACGTTTGGTCTCACTGTGCAGGGAACACGCGTGCACGCAGATTGGGAGAGGTACGGGACAGTGCTGGGGAGGGGGTGGCTGGGCACTGTTCCCGCTTTGGCCCTACAGGAGGAAGGATCGTCGACGCATTTGCGCCCCCTGTATGTAGATGATGGCAGCGCAGGTTTGGGACTCGGGTACAGGCGCATGGGCAGAGCAGGGCAGAGGCAACTCAAAGGTCCAGACTTCTGTAGCTGTGTGAGGTGTCCTTGACTGGCCCGACATAGGAACCCCAACACGTTCTAGGCCTTAACAGAAGTTTTAAGCATACCTATTCCCTCGGTCTCTGAGCAGAGGGACCTGAAAGGAGCATAGGTTTTGGGCGCGTGACACTAGAAGTATCGGCAGGACAGGGTACCACAACCAGGCATGGTTTCCGCATCACCAGGTTCTTCAGAAGCGAAATGTAGACTACTGTGTATTATAGTCGTCCTGTTGTTCAGCCTTTTAGCACACCATCGTGAAGCACATAGCTATAAGAATACCCATAGTCGTAACGTTCCGTTCAGTGGGTGTACGTGTGAGTCCGGCCAACGCCAGCTTCGCCCTGGGGCTGCGTGTGCTGTTTGTAGACAGTAACGTGTTGCAATAGATTTGTGGAATATGCAAATTACTGTCATGTGACCTCAGATAACACAGGTGGGAGTTCTGTCGACCTGTTCTTTCAGAGAACGTTGTAAGGCTTTTACGTCTTAACTAATGATTGCTTTTCTGGGTAAAATTTGAAAAGCCTGAGATTGTTTACTGTTTTCCACTAATGAAAATTTATGTATTTATATATATGATTATATATAAATATATAATTATATATATATATATAGCTGTTAAGTGTGACAGTGATCTTTTTGTGCTGATATTTCAGCTGTTACAAATATATTGTATATTACCCTGTAAATTAATGTTAAATTAGTAGATTTGTTCCTATATATACATAAATATATATATATAAATATATATAAAATATATAAAATGTTGATTGGTGAGTTGCTTATAGCACTTTAGTATACAAGCATAATATCAGGTCCCTAAGGTTATTCATTGATAGCTGTACATTACATTTATTATAATAATTTTTTTAAGGTTAAGAAAGCTTGCTGCTACCATATCTGATAGTGTGGGTCCATGCTCTGTCACAGAAGGGAGCATTTATCCGTGCTGAGTGAGGGGGGGGGGGGGCGCCAGGCGCGGGTCCTCCTATTGCCACGTGTGTGTGTATCGGCCCATCTGGGACGCGGGGGTGTAAATAGTCTATTCAGCGGCTTTCTCCCCCCTTTCTGCTCTTCCACAGCAGTACCTGTGTACTTGTGGAGTCAGAGAACTACACAAATAAGCCCTCGAATTACTTCACCAGATTACTATGTAACAGTGATGTATAAATAACAATAGGAAATGAATAAATTGTTGTACGACCTCTGAGTTGTTTTCCCTGTGTACACTTCTTGTCATTCGTGATGGTAGCATTGCAGACTCTCTCAGCTCTGTATTCAGATTATGCTTGTCCTCCTCACACGTGATTAGGGGGGGGAACTTGAGTAGTTTATAATTCACAGGATGTGTTTGTCTGGCAAGTGTAATTTTCAAATTGACTCGTGTACAGGGAGTAACTTGGTTTTCACTTTGGCTTTCTTTGAAATCTTGATACCAGTGGTGTGCCGCTAACTCCTTACGTTGGTTAACTTGTATTGGATTTCCTCCTCTCTTTCTATTGAAGCGGGCAGTTGATTCAGATCCCCTCCCCCAAATCTGAGTACTGTTTGCTTCTCTGTGGCTGTCATCAATTACGGCCAACTTTTCGGCAGTAAAGTTTTATAAGGCCTGGAACCTTATACCAGGAAACGGTGTACATTCATGGGGACACCCTGGATGGGACACCAAATTAAACTGGGGGGAGGAATCCGAACAAGCATTTTGATAGAATACGTAGAGAAATCAAATTAAACTCCCAATCTTGGAGGTATGAGGCCAGCTATTGCAGCCCCGTGGTGATAGTTTATCATGTCATGATTTGAAATAAATTTACACAACTTTAGAGGTGTGGAAGGTCTTCTCTTAGGAATTAATAACACCCACCATTTTCAAATTTTCCACCTATTTGCTCCGTAAAATATTTTCAGTAAGAGCTGCTCTGTCACTGCCGAAGGGTACGGTATGCAAGTGTATGTTCCGGCTCACAGGAGCTTAGAAACGCAATGCTGCCACCTTGCGTTGGAGAGTAGAAGTAACTGGCTTCTCTAACGCATTAGAATTACACTCAAAAATTCTTTGATTGAACTATTTGCCAATCTCTTCAAAGAAAAAAAAATGCACAATAGATCACCGCAGGAAATATCTCAGGTTTTCTGTCATGGATTTAATTTAATTTCCTAACTGGTGCAAAAAGGGAAAAAGAAACACTTGCTGTGTGACTGTAGGTGAGCCCAATTTTACTCTAGAGGTGCATAATATCTTAGGATAATTCAGACAGTTACAGTGCAACCACATAATCCATCTCAATGAGGACACTTTGAGCGAAGATGGGATTTGTAAATGTAAAATTTAAGGTACCTGGATTCAACTTAAGCGCTGAGTTCTTGTGTGCTGATTGGTCAGTCTCCTATAATCATGCATGTTAATGTGGAATTGCTGGAAATCAGTCAAACCACAAGAAGCACTGAACTATTTAGGCAAGCATATGAGCCTTTCAGTGTTAAAGTGGTTTATACAACCTGAAGTAGCCGAAGTGTCCTGTTTGACATGGATTATCTGGTCACTCTAGGCAGGAAAAGCCTCCGAATTGGAACATGAAAGTGTGAAGGTCACTTCAAATACATTACTCCAATAGAAATATTAAGCAGTGTGATTCCGCAAGAAACTTTCTTCTGGGGAGACGAAGACTATCAACTAAATATTTGCTGCCAGTTTTGGACACTCATTGCCCCCGACAATAATGCAATAAGCACTACCAAACACGCATTTGACAATTTTTTTGCTTCCATTTGAAACACACAAATGCGCTTCCCATTCGGAAATACAATACATGATCATTTGGGCCATTTGTAGATGGAATTGTGTCACTGTCTTATAAAGCCCAGTAGCTTCCTCTTGGTATTTCACAATTAGCGTTATGTCTCTCAAAGTCAAATGCAATACGAGCGACAAACAGATAATCAGCCTCTTTTTATCACAGACTCCCAGTGGGGATATATTTATGGTTTTCTTTAACCACATAATGATACAAACAGCATCACAAAGTAAAAATGTCACTACAAACGGTACAAAGAGCTAACTGAAAGCAAAAGGCAGATGCGTCCAGCTCATTAAAAATACACGACACATGGGTGAATTTAGAAGTCTGACAAATGCTAGCGTGTAACTTAAGTTAGACATATGTAGCGATGCATAATGCACAGATAATTAGAACACCTCAATACACTACATCTGATTATCGTCGTACGAATTTTTCATCTTATTGAAAGATTTTTCTTTGGTAGAAAATGCACAAGTTAAACGTACATGTGTTTTGTATACAAAAGAATGCCGAATTAATTTTTTAAAAAGTATTACCAGTTGCCTTAGTTTAGGCACTAAGTTTCACTGTAAGGTGGGTGAAATTAATTTGTTACCATGTGGTTGTGAATACAGGACATATTGAATAATACTAATCTTAATCATCTGACATCGTGTTTTTTCTTCAAATGAATTTTATATACAAATTACAAATTTAGCAGCATAATGGTTTGTCAAGCGCATCAAATTTAACAAACGACAGGACTGTTTAATGTGTTAATTTATGGTAATCTTGTGGTACTGGCAAACTAGCAAATAATGCTGCTGAATGTCACGGAAAAGACAAAAAAACTGAAAGGCAAATTTCTTTGTTTTACGTTGATAAAGGCATACAGTCCTGGTTAAAAGGCACTGGTATGTGACCATGGTTTGAGCTGTCAAGGGTGCATATGGGTGCCAAAAAAAGACAAAAACCATCCCCTTAAATAGTTCTGTGTCATTGTCACTCACATAAACCAAATTTTATCTTTAGGGACCCCTGAAGGACCACCCCATCTTAAATCCTTCTACAAGTCATAGGTATGTGACTGTGTGTTACATTGGGGATTCCTCAGGCCGCTTCAAGGCATTAAACATTCTGGACTCCACCGGATGTCACTGTGTCACTAACTGGGGGGGGTAAAAAGTCATTAGATGGTGAAGGCAGTAAATATGGTGACTTTGATATCGGTGCCAGAGGGTCAGTGGATCAGGTACTTAAACTCGGAGTAAATAAGCGAGAGCATGATGGCACACGCCCGGTACATGATGCTGGCACTCCGCAGCAGCGCCCGGGGCTTGGTTAGCCAGGACTCGGAGCAGAAGCTGAAGTAGATGGCGTACAGAGCCACGGCGAAGAAGTGCCCGATGAGAGTCATGGGCTTGGGGGAGAGCCTGCGGAGCAGACACACGGGGTAAGGTGTGCAGACGGCCGGGTACAAACTGGGCGTCTGAGCAAACTGTTCTGAAAGCTGAGATACTCACACTGACAACAGGCCAATAGGGCCAGCAATGCACTCCCCACCCAGCCTGAAGTAGTGGAAGCAGGCTTTTCTCAGCTGGTGCAGGGAATCTAAACCATGGAAAGAGTTCATTTCTAAAAATGATGTCATATACCAAACGTGGATATCAATGTGACCCTTAAAGGAAATATGGCAAATAGACAGTGATCCTGCAGCTATTTCATTTTGTTGCCAACTACAGGAAACATAATTAGAATCATCGAAAATTAATTCAAAAATGAACATGAAACTTGCTTTATAATATGTAAGGAGGTGAGAGTCTTTCCCCCCGCAGCATGTTCCTCAAACTGGCAGGGTGTAACACCGGGTAGGCCTCATATTCCAGGAGTGGCCACTAGGTGCCGCACTTACCATCAGTAGCGGCAAACAGCTCGTAAAGAGCCTGCGCCAGCACGTTCACCACGAACGAGTGAGAGGACTTCCTCTCCCAGTGGAATCTCCTTTTAGCCTGCAGATGGAAAAAAACCACTTCCTGAAGTGGAGCTTTTCATATGAACGACAGCAGACTCACATTAAATGACTATTTAACTGAAAGGACGTGACTTTGGTAGGTTTTTTTCAGTGATGTGACTATATTTACATTTACGAAAAGCAAGTAAACAGCATCATATGTAAGCTTCTGTAATTCATATATATATGTCTATGTGTGTGTGTAGTGAGTGTGTAGTGAGTGTATACACTAAATATATACATATACGAACATACAACGGCATATCTTTGGGTTGAGTATAAGGGGGGTTGAGTTCTCTACCCTTTTAAGGGGGACCAGGAGGTTGTATTTATATGCAGTTTGATTGGTAGCTCGTTTTTTTACCCGCTTCACCGTGTCCTCATCATAGAGGTCTGGGATGTTCCTCAGGAGCTCCCTCCATATCCTGACGTCATTTAGCACCACGCTCATCCCACCCCCAGTCACAGGGTGCCTCATGTTGTAGGCGTCGCCCAAGAGGATGACCCCTGGCCACAGAAAAGCAGACGTTATTCATCCTCCTCGAACCCGTGCTGAGTCTCCCAGGTCGCACTGCAGACGGGTTAAGCTGGGGACGAGGCTCCATCCGGCCTGACCGCAGACTCCCGTTTAGCCATGAATGGGCCAGACGGAGCGGGGTTGGATCACACCTGGTTTGTTTACAGGAGAAGGGGGCAGAAAGCTCGCTGGCATGGTCCTCAAGCGGTCATTCTGCAGTGCCTCGAGGAATGGCTCCTTCATGTGCTCTGAGGAGAGAGAACGAGCGGCCCAGTCAGACACAAGCGATACACCTCCTGGCAGAAAATATTACAGGTGGACAATTCAGGTCCAGAAAGTAAAAATCCAGACCAAGACTTTGTTTCTACCAACGAGTTGAATACTCTGTGACTATGACTCCTTATAATCAACTGGTTGAAACAAAATCTTGGTCTGGATTTTTACTTTCTGGACCTAAACTATCCACCTCTGGAAAATAGTCTGGTTCCTGGTCAATTCCAGTCCAACTAGACCCTAATGATGGAGGAATAAGGCTTTGACACCCATGGATAATGGGATTACTCTCCATGGATGGCCACTGCTTAGTTTAACCCAGTAGGACCAGATACAGTACTAAAGGGGAGGTGGGTTTGAGGCAGTATGAATGTGGGTAACCTGACACGCGGTCACTTAAAGAGCCTGATTTCTCCCATGACTTGTGCTGCTTCCACCTGTCCTCTTAATCTTCACCTGGCAGCTGAGGATGGATCCTCTCCCGCATGTATTCCATGAGGCTCCTTGGCATCTCGCCTCGGATGTCCACCAGCACCCTGGTTTCCTTGGAGGAAATCTGGTAGATGAGGATGGGGCTGGGGTTTGCCAGCACAAGCTCAGCATGATTGGCCTTGAACTGTGGGGAATCCTGGTGGGGGGGTTGGGGTACAAAGAATCAGCTCTAACCAACCGTCCGAAGAGCCATCCATCTTCTAACCGATTATCCTGATCAGGGTCACGGGAGTTTGAAACAATTGTATCTATTGACTAATAAAGAATCCAGAATAAACAGAAAAAAATAAATAACTGAATGTTAATTCATTTCAGTAGCTGTGCACATTCCTGTGAACAGAAGAGTGAATCTGCCTGGAAAGATCTTTACCTTCATTATGCATCCAACAAAGTGAGAAGAGATTTTCACTTTATCTGGCACAAGGCTTTTTCTAAACTTGGAGAAACAGCCATCAGCAACCACGGTCAGAGGCACCTGAATCTCCTGTAAAAGGTCAAAAAAGCGTGAAGGTTCAATTCGCCGCTCAAACTCGCAGAAGCCTGGGAAGACGTGGATGAAGGACACAGTCCATGTGCTTAATGTTTGACTTCATTCTCTACAACGCTAAGCTAAGCAGGTATTAATGGAAGTGTGTGTGTGTGTGTGTGTGTGTGTGTTTTGAGCTTCCCCATAACCTGCTTTTTTCTGATGCTCATTTCACATCAATGTTGAGATATCCTGCCCAGCGCGGCCAACAAACTGTTGGCCAGATCAAACCAAATGTGCAGTGGCTGATTCCGGAAGCCCTTGCCTTCATTTCTCCGGTTTCCTTCAGCCTGTACTGAACTCCTGTGACACATCCGCTGATCTCCTCCAAGCTGGTCACTGTGCCTTCGATGAACGTCACGCTTTAAAGAACATCACACCATGACTTCAGTGATACAGTAAACCAGAGCTGTTCCACGATGAACAGTTTCCTGCTTCTAAAAGGCTGTTATAAGAGCCTTTGAAAATTATTTACTTTTTATGCTCAAACGCAGAAGATGACATATACAACAAAACATTAGTTAGTACTTAGTTTCTATTGCTGTGTTTTTTTCCTGATTAAATTTTGCTTTAGGTTTTAGGTGAACTCTGACAAAGTTGATTTGGTTGATATTCGGCCTGTTACAAATAGCTTTAAGAAATTAAGTGGGTACTTAAGGCTTTTAGGTCAAGCTGTGTCTTTTGTTTGCAAGGATGACGGTCTTACTTTGGCTCAGCCATGGCAGCCTGCCGCAGGCCCATGATGAAGCGGCCGTGGTGAAAGGCTCGCCCACATTGAATGGCGCCCCCTGCCTGTGGGTAGGGGATCTCCACCTCCATGTTGCTGTCCAGGTCATGGACCACGTACCCTTTCACAACGTGGGCATCCAGACCCTCGACTGAATCTGAAGCAATGGCGACAGGTGTTTCCAAAACACAGGGAAAATGTAGACATTTGCTTTACGCGTGATGAGAGGCTGATTTATACATGCAGTCTTAGAATATTAGATTCTTGTTTTGTCAAATTAAAAAAAAATGTACACAAACACTTCTTTGGCTTTACCCATTTCAGCCGTAATGTAGGTATATTTTTCTATTTTAAATTAAACTTTTCACTGTTTCTACATTAACCTGGTCCCTGAACTACTAGGCCTATTTATGTATGTTAATAGACGGTTTTGGCTTAAGCCGCTAAGCATCTCGCATATTCTGGATCAACGTCACTCGCTAAAATTTTCAGTGGCAGCAAAACCTCAGCTGGGACTTGAACCAACAACCTTCAAGTTCATTTTTTTATGTAGCTGTATTCCTACCTGCTGCTATCAGTAGCTTATTTAATGCTCGTAACTTAGTTTTTATATTTGCTGATGCATGGGCTGGGATACCGATCAGAGAGTGTTTTTTTTTCTTACTTTCCAGCCCCAGGTCCATTAGGGCACGGTACCCCCCCGGCTGCAGCAGCTCCCCCACGATCCTGTCCGGTTCGCGGAGGTCCCTCTCGATCACGGTGACTCTCCGGCCGTCTCTCCCCAGCACCGCAGCCATAGCGGAGCCCAACACCCCGGCACCCACAATAACGACTTCAGGCTCCGGGGACTCGCCGCTCCCACCGCACTGCGCCTCAGTCCGCTCCGCTCTTTGCCTTCGACCGCTTGTCTATTCCCGGAGCGACAGGAAAAACAAGTTATTTACTGTCTTTCTGGTTCTCTGTCATGTTTGTCACTGTCTTTATGTAGAAACAGATCTGAAGGGAAGAATACTTAATTATTTATGCTGTCACTCAAATATTCAAGTTCCTTAAACTTGCAGTTATTTGATGATGGAGTCATGTTAATTACAGATATTAACTATTTAAAAAAATATGTTTAATTAGACTTAGGTTAATATGCATGTGCATGCTTATCAATTTTAACAGATTTTCAGTTGTTTTACATTGGGCCGTTTACAACACAGTGGCCCCAAGGCATTTAACAAGAGTTTATGGAAATACATTATTAGTACATAGATACAAAATTGTTCATGGTGTCGGGAAAACGGAAACTTAAGACGCAGCCTTACCGATTTAGACGCGGCGCCTTTGCTGCCGGCGCTCCGGGACGATGAGCGGCGGAAGAGGCGCTCGGCGAAGTGTAGCGATGCCAGCGGACCGAAGAGCGCGCACAGTCTCCGCGGGGCTCCGAGCGTCAGTCCGCCGCGGTAGCGGACGCAGGACAGCGACAAGCCCGCGGCGAGCAGCAGCAGAGTCGCCACCACGAGCTCCTTGTGCACGTAAGCGTCGTATTTTTTGTAAACGTAGGTGAAGCTTGCAATTCCGAGAAAGGTCCACATGTTGTGGATGCAAGTAGTACTCAAAATGAGAAGTGAAGGGAAAGTAACAACTTCTAAAGTAAAAAACACTAAAAGTTTGCTTAGGATTTAAAGTGCATGTATTTTAAAATGAACATCATTCGTAATAAATAAGAGTTTCAATTAGATAAAAACTTTTCAAGTAAATTATATGATATTTGTTTTGTTCATTGTCAGCCGGTATCATTTGTAATATATTGTACTTATTATGTCCAATTCAGTAAGAAATTATTTTTCCTTTTCTAAATGAAGCGTAGTACAATTTTCATTTCATATAAAATACCCTGCAAGAAATTCTACTGCCAGTCTAATACTTCTAGAGGATGCTGAATATTTTATGATAATTAGACCTATCAGCTTCGGTGATGCACCGCCCTTGTCCCGCCTTACATGGTTCCAAATCCACCAATCAGGAGCTGTCTTACGGTGAGCAGAGCTCACGCTATCTGGCCATTGGCCAATCCTGAACTGCTGGTAAAACCGGGATCTATCAGAACGGTAGTATGATGTGATGTCACTGAAAAAGGTAGATGGAAGTCGGATGCCGTGACTATGACAGTATGTGACAGCCAATGGGTAATCGTTAAATTCGTTTTATTTGATTTACACAGCTTTATTTAGAACATTAAAAATAGATTTCAGTGCGAAGATTTATTATTAATTCATACAAAAACATGGATGCATAATGTATGTATTCCTTTCAGGAAAGAAAATCTTATTTAATATACAATACATTTAAACATAGGCATTACATGTGCATCATGGATCATTTTAAACTGTTTTATTATTCATTAAATACTGACATAATATTTCTTCATCAACAATTTTTTTAAGTTAATCACTTACAGACTTAATGATCACCATAGTGTAGCTTCTGGTAATATTACCATTAGTTAGTAAAATAATTAGTACCAACACTCTGAATGGATGACAGAACTGGTCAAAACAATCACTTTACTGGCAGAAAATGAAAGTTAAGCAGAAAATTATTTAAAAACTACGATGGTAAGAATAAAATAAGAAAAATATTCGGAGAAGCAATGTGCATTGCGAGGCATGTTTTATGGTCTGTAGAACCATGTTTAGTGACGTGCAATACATACATTAATCATCACATTCCAGGTTCTTTATATCATGTGTGGAACCTGGGCAGGCCACTGTGACGTATCATTTAAAGAAAAGAAAAATAAAACCAAAATGTACGTTATATGTACGTTATCTCCACTATATATGCAGGTTTCTTCTTGTACGAAGGAAGTCCTACTGGCGTATTGCACTATAGTTTAACGTGCAAAACAAGCCAACCACAAGGGGGCGCACAAAACCTTGGTATCTAAGCAGATGTTAGTATGTAAGCATGAGATTATGATACAGTCTTTTAAGAAGCTGCTGAATCTGTGGTGTCAAGGATGCCATAGAAAGGTCCGAGTTCAAAGATAATTTTACAGGATACAGACTTTACCCCCAGTTCTTCCAGAGAGACCATGCCATTTTTACTCTCCAAAGTCCAAACACAGATCTAGAATCATGTAGCAATACTGTGAAACAAAAAATGACAGCCTTGCAGCCCAAGCCAACGTAACCCACTCGGGAACACAACCGACAAAAGAACCCTCAATATAGCCCAGCTATGTGCGATTTTAACGGGAAGTCCTGGCTGTGAATAATGGAAAAAAAAAAATTATCGACACATCATAAAAACTCCTTTGCTATCTGATGGATGACACCCTGATGATAATCTTCACTGAAACCCCAAACAAATGCATCCACAGCACTAAAGTTCCACTCATCAGGTCCTCCAGGTCGGCTGACTCTCTCCACGGTTTTGTATCAAAATTCAGTCTTTGGGGCTGGAGGCCATATTGTTCAGTAATAGTCTGGCTAGGCAGGCAGCTGGCAGACTTTGTTTTTCTCATAGTATTATCTAATGCTGAGAAAACAACAGAATGTCAAGTGAAAAGAGTTGGAAAATAATAGCCTCTCAATATCATAACAACACAGATCACTTGTGTGAAAATTTGAAAACATTGAATTCAATTCAGATTTATTTATATACCACATTTTCACAATATTACATTGTCTCAAAGCGCTTTACGTTATCTCTGCCCAAAGCCCCCAGTGAACAAGCCAGAGGTGACAGTGGCAAGGAAAAACTCCCTAGTAGGAAGAAAACTTGGTTAGAACCAAACTTAAAGGGGGAGCCCAACACCCTTCACTGTCATAAAAAGGGTACAGTCCTGGTACAGTTTTGTACCCCAAGGTACAAACAATGTCAATGTACCCCCAATGATACAAAAATGTTTCTCAGAGTCCATTTCTGTACCTTAAAAGGCACATCTGTCTACAGCTAGGGTACAATTGACAGACCCTTGAGGGTACAGGTCAGGTAACAATTAATTGTACCCTCAAAGATACAAACTGGTTCATTTTTTGTCTGAAAGTGTAGCACCAGCAAAAAAAAGTCAAAAGTAGCAGTTAAGTCCCAGTTTATATAGTAAAATTGTGTATAGTGTGTGTGTAACTGCGGAGGATCCGGCTGGTGTCGGGACAGGAAGGTGAAGAAGCTGCTTCCTTTGGCGCGATGGAAGTGATCATCACTTGCTTTGGACAAAAGCATCTGATAAATAAATATAAACTGTAGTTTAAAAAGTGGCACTTTTTGGCCTGTTCTCCAGAAAAATATATATTGTTATAGACATCAGTGTTAACACCTATTAACAGAAGTGGGGCATACAACAAATCTACAGGGTAAGATGATTTATATGAATTATTAAAATGAATTATACATGATACCTTTATGTACCATGTAAACAATCATGCAATGCAGGTGAGGGAAATTTCATACGACATTTTCCTTGACCTTCATACCCATAATATTGATGTCTACAAGTTGATTTGGGCTTCAATATGGAACCTGCACGTTCAGGCCAGTCTTTTCTTTGTAAGTTTCAGTGGAGTTAGATGGTCAGTCCATTCAGCTCACGATCCTTCTACTACCAATCATTCTAGTGAAGTGTACAAGAGTAGATGCAAAGAAAAAGTCTGAAGAACACCCAATGAAAGCTCCCTGCTCCAGACGTCCCGGCCATCTCCAGTCCTTTCTTCTCCTAAATTCCAGCTTTCGCCGACAGATGGCAGACACGGTTTGTCGAGGCACCAAACCTGTACTTTGCACATTTAGTATTGGTTTTGGCCACTGGCAAGCAGCAGAATAACAATATAAAGTTCAGAGCAGCATATCTGGCTCTAGAGCCGGAAAACAAGGTGAGAGAGCCCAACCAGGCATTCATCCAATTTTAAATTTGTAAAAGTATTCCATAAAATTCCATTACATTTCCATAAACTATATTTACACATATTTGCTCTGAAATGGACAAGGATGGATGGATGGATAATTACACATTGATATGTCTAACACAACCAACATTTTTCAAATATAACTTTACAATGTAATTTAAATTTAATGAACGTATGATTTTAACAACAACAGCATTTTCCTCTGAAGTAACAACCCTCGGTAAAATCGCCTGTGAACACTAGTAGCCTAAAAAAGGGTAAGTTACTTTACTTACTTTTTTTAAGTTACTTAGTATTTTTATATTTGAATTTTTAGCGAACAGAAATCGTCAACCTGCCCGTACATGGACAAACGTGCCCGTGGCAAGAGTCATCTGTGTCTGTGGAAAAACTACGTAGGGATTTTAAATACCATATTTGGTAAAAATTGCATTTTGATCACAACAGCCGTCACAATTTGCCATGCTGATGATTGCTGACTAGTAAGTCCGGCATTTTCCCGTCTTATTTGACTTCGCCGTAGTTTACGTAACTGCCTCGTCATGGTTATGACGAATGTACCGAAAATGCGGAGGGAATACTCCGTATGAGTTACCATTGCCCAATATTTATATTACACTTCCTTTAGTAAAATGCATGTTAAGACAAGGTGCAAACAGTCCAAATAGGACAAGGGCGCAACGGGAACTTGAAAAGGTCGAGCTTTTGCCGTCGTTCACCACTGTTTTCTTTTAAATAAGTTCAATATGTAACACGACATGATGGAAGAAAAAACATTGTTTTGTACAGAAAGATTATATTTGTAAACTCTAAAGCGTATGCTTTATATGAATGTAGAAATGTTAAAATATATCATAATGCTGTTACCATCAGGATGCAGTACACATTAATCAATTTAAAAATTAGTTTCAATAATGTTGTTTATTAGAATCAATGAAATATTACAAAATATCTGATGCATAACTGTCAACACTAAAGTATAAACATAAGACATGGAACACATCCATAAATACATATTTACATATCAAATGTCACATGATTAATCAGAGCCTTTGGTTCATCATACCGAATGGGAAACACAAGTTGGAGCAGAAATATCCCTTATTTATATCTGTTAAAGCCCTGTGTTCCCCCAAGTCTAATACAGTACGCAGTGCACCTCCCATAACACACAAACAAGTGAATGAAAGGTATTTCTTTAGGTTATTTATGTTGCTGCTTTAACTGTAGTTGCTGCTGCTTTTTTGAAACAGCGATATATATACACATGTATACATACATTTTTTTGCATAATAAAATGGAAGATAAAACAGAAGTTGACCACCGTTTAAAACAGGCACTGCGAGAGGAGGCACTTGTGCACCTAACATGACAGGTTTGGCATAGAGCATGGACATGGGCACACGGGTCTGGGGGAGGGGGGGACCGGGGGCGCGGGGGTAGCCGTTTATACAGTGGACTCCGGCAAGCCCGGCTCCTTCTTCTTCTTCTTCTTGCGCTTCTTCTTGCCGCGGCACGGGTTGCAGATGCAGCACATGACGCAGGGCGAGGCGAGCAGGAGGAGCGGCGATGTCACCAGCACGATGACGCTAACGCCCACCAGGATGCCGACCACCTGCCGTGGGGGACGCGCGATTCGCTAGTGAGCACGCATGGCTGCGGGGGGTGGGCAAAACATTCTGGTACACTTAAAGTATTATATATGCAAACCCATTTATACTGCAGCACGGAAAGGAAACATACCAGTCGTAAGTTTGGACACACCTACCCACAGAAAGGTTTATTTGTGCTATTCTCTACATCAGGGGTCTCCAACTCCAGTCCTGGAGAGCTACTATCCAGTAGGTTTTCTATCCTACTTTGCTTCTGATGAGCCAAACCTGGCCCTGGTATTTACCTGAGAACAGGTGTGGCTCATCAGAAGCCAGGTAGGATAGAAAACCTACTGGACGGTAGCTCTCTAGGACCGGAGTTGGAGACCCCTGCTCTACATTTTAGAATAATTATAAAGACATCAAAACTATGCCCCAGAGGTGGAGACTCGAGTCGCTGACCCATGATTCGACTTGGACTCAAGTCACAAATTTGAGGTCTTGTGACTGGACAAAAATGATGGAAAGGCTTGCACTCAACTTGGACTTGAGGGCAACTACTCAAGACTTGGATCCAACTTGGATCCTGTGACTTGACAAGACTTGAAGTCATAGTCCCCCTCTGGAGTTCAATTTCAATGTATATCAATTCTCTGCTGTCTGGATTTTCAATTGGATGAATGCAAGGTCTCCTGAGATAGTTTGCTGGAAAGATGCATCACTCTCTGCATGTACACGGATGTAAAAGCGGTATGAGGACAACCGTGAGTGGACACTCTCTTTTTAACCTACCTCTGCCTATAAAGCACGTATCCTATGATGTACTGTGGCGGGTTTTTGCAGCAGTAAGTGTTAATCAATAAAGGTAATGACTTGAGACTTGACTCTGACTTGCAATGTTTTGACTTGAAACTTGACTCGGACTCACCAAGGAATGACTTGTTCCCGTCCATGTTATGCCCTGACCAAAAAAGTATTAAAAATGTCGGGGGGGGGGGACTCTGTGGGTTGGAACTCAGAGGGCTGCTAGTTAAATCGGCAGAGTGATCCCATCATTAAGTCCTTGAGCAAGGCCCTTAACCCCAATTGCTCCAGGGACTGGTTGACCCTACTGTCTCTTCTACACCAGTTCCATGAGCTGGCCTCCTGAGATGCTTTTCCAGCTGTCCTGAAGGAGGTCCCACATATATGTTGGGCACTCATTGGCCGCTTTTCCTTCACTCTCTGGTCAAACTCCTCGAAAACCATCTATACTTTGTTTAGGTCAGGTGGCCTGGTCATGTGACATGACACTATCACTCTCCTTTTTAGGCGGCTTGGCGTGTCCAAATTTCTGACTGGTACCGTATGTGGATGTGAAATGAAAAAAGGGGCACAAATGATAAAAGTCCTATTCTGTAGTGAAATCTGGGCAAATTAACTGATTATTCTTTGGGAAATACACATCAACATCTGCTGCTAATTCTCAAAAAAAGGCAAGAAACTAGATATTTGGAACTGCCAAGGGTTAGAGACTATTATTCATTCTAAAATAACAATATTTGATGTATTATTTTCTTATTAGTAATATTTTTAATTACTGATTGTTTTACAGCCAGGGCTGTAATTTAGGAATTTTTGCTACTAGCCAACTGGGTAGTCCAACGTGCAATTGTTTTACTATCCAGTAAGCTAATGTTCAGGGTTTTGTACTCGCCTCAGGCAAGTGGGCGAGCCCTGTGTACAACCCCAACAGCTACGACCATAAACGTAGATTATATCTGATTGCTATCAGACGTCATGTGTTTTCCTCGGGTCAGGTTAGGAATCGGTTGATTCATTTGAGTGAGCAAACGGAAAATCCCAGTACAGATGGGAATGGGAGTGCATGCTCCTAGGAGTGACAGCCAGTAGGCGGTACAGTGTAGCATGATCATCTTGTCACCTGTGTCCTGTTCCACATGACGGATGCCCGTGAGTGACCCAGCTTATTCCTGCATGGTCCCTTGTCATAGTGACGTAGGAATATGTCCCCCTGTAAGACAGCCACCAATGAACACATCAGCGCATACACCTCTCATTTGCATTTTATTCGCTGGCTGCTAGCCTTGAATGAACGTCTTTCATGAAAGGACCTCCATCACTGTCCTTGCAGAATATACACTACTCTGTCAGCACAGGTGAGAAATACATTACCACACACATGAGTAAGACATGAGTAAGTGTACATCAGTAGATGCATTACAAAATTCACTGGCGATGTCTGTCACACAACGGTAGGGCGGCATTTTCGTCAAAGTCTGATCGAATCGGTGTGTCAGATGCCGAGAATTCAGATCATAAGAGTGCAGTTATGAAAAGTTAGCTAACAAAGGCAGGATGCTCTTTGTTCCTTCTCCCGCCCTCAGAAGAACTCAACAGATGTGCGATAAAACATTACCGGAGCGAGAACGGAGCCCCCCCCCCCGCCCCGCACAGGTACCACTGGGCCTTACGTCCAAGTTCTGGAGGCAGTACCAGCAGAAGGTGTGCTTGCAGCTCTTGCAGAGCATCTGGGCACAGCCCTGGTTCCGCTCGATGTAAACCCCGCACATTGGGCACTGCTTTATGGACACGTCCACCTCTGTGCTCGAGTGGACGCTGCAGACACAAGAATCGGCATCAGGCTCCACCTCAGCGTCACGGGAGACGATCTGCTTCGTCCGGAACGTTAAATGGCAAACTTTCAAAGCAAACATAAACCCAGCCACCCCCTGGCCCTCGGGGGATATCTGACCGCTCGTATTTTGCAAGTGAGTCTAAGCAAATGGTAATATATGAACCACAAGTGCTCATAGCATTTAAGTAAAAGATGGTTTTCCGGCTTCCATGCCCGCTGGCAGGGCTGGGCCCGTGGCGTACGCGGGCTACGCAGCTGCTTAGAGCCCAGTGGGCACCAGGGCTGAGAAAAAGTGCTGGGCTCAGTGAGTAACTGAGTAGCTCAGTGAGTAACTGAGAAGACAGGTTGAAAAATAAATCAGAAAGGGGCAGCACAGAGGAACAAGGACAGAGCTGGATAGTGGCGCGATCTGACCTGCCGGGCTCAGATGGGGAGGCCAGGGGCCGGTGCTCTGAGCAGATGTGGCCCTCCTCCCAGGGGCCCCTACACAGAGAGCAGAAAACGGCATGGCAGGCTGGACAGGGCACGGACGTGGGCTCGCCCGCGGCACTGGGCTGCACACGACACACGGCCTGGCACTCCAATACTGGGCACCAGGTTTTACTGGGGTCCAGCTGCACACCTGTGAAGGAGAAAATCGTGTTCAGTCATGGAAACTGACACCCGCAAAGAGGCTCCGTGGCTACAGGCGCATGCTCTCTGTTTGACCACGCAAACCCAAAATTATCCAGTAACTAAGATATCAACAGCATAAGCCAAGCGGCGGGTTCCTTGATAGCTGATTCTCTTCAGAAGCTCCTCACGCAATGCTATCAGATTTCCAGGTATCAGACATATTTCACTACAACCCATTTTGCCAAGGACGTGCTACTGGACGGTACCTCTCTCGAATTTCAGCCGCTGGTAGAGTTGAACTTGGTCTGCGGAAGCAAAGCTGGCAATCTGCAAGAACCGGGTGGGGGGGTGCAATGCGTTTGACGGGTTATTATTAGATTCAAGAGAAACATGGAACATTTCAGAGAGATACAGACAAACCTTTTTTTGGACCATGGAATTGCACTGCACAAGTGTTTTAAATAAACAAAAAGCTTTGTGTACATACTGTACTGTCATATCTCAAGTGGACGAACGTGACATCCGGCAACATGGCCCGCGAAGCATGTCTCAAAATACAGAAATAAGTAACCCAGCCTTGGAGTGGACTGTTGTCAAAACAGCCAAACCGTGACATATTGACCATTGAGGGAAATGTTCTTGTCAAACTCTAACCAAAGTCAAACGGGTGGGCCTTAACCAGGCTTCATAAAAGGGGATCCCTACTCAATCGTCATGGAAACGGCATATTTCTTTTATAGACTTTAACTCGCCCGTGTGAATAAGGAGAGAAAACAAAAATCAAGCATTCCTGACTTATCTGGAGCTAGTCAGTGTTACAGACAGACCCCCCCCCCCCAATAGAGTACCTCAGAGTCTAGGAGGGCCCCGCTCTTCAGGCAAGCCATGTCGGGGCAGGTAATGGAGGTTCCCCCACCCTCACGAATCGCCAGCTGTACATATTGCTGCAGGCACTGGAAAGGGGAACCAACATCATTTGCCAAATATTTGTCTTAAAGGCGTTACCTGTCTGACGTTTACCTTGGGTTTAAAGGCAGGTGCTGAGTTATACGCAAGGTAATGGGAAAAAAAAACATTTTGAGACAAGGTGACCTTTGTAAGCATTATAACATTTATGGGTTTGATGTCCTAATTACACTCGGCAGGGAAATTACTTTCACGGTTGCAATCGAAGGGGTAAGTTTCCTACTCGGAGTGCAATGAGAAACCTGATCTTTGTGTAAATAGCAGATATGCCTCACCAAGCAAAGCCAAAGGTCTTACGAGGTCCTTTTGTGATTTGTTTACAGTGGCCTGGGTATCTGATTACCTGAGACCAGGTTTGAAAGCTGTGAAGTATCTTATATCAAGCACATTTAAATCACGGCTATAGCGGGTAAAATGTGTTACACAGGATCATGAAACTACAGCCCAGTTTAAAGACAATGTGCCAAATCATTTTAAAAAACCTATTCTGAAGCATGAATCTCCAATCTGAATACTCAATCCACAAGATGAATAGGGCCAAATAAAATCTATAAAATTAAGCAAGGCTTGCTGATTTTTTGATTACGCAGCTGGCTAAAATAAGCATTTAAGAGTGTCTTAAATTACACAGCTTGCACAGTAATTCTAGATTTTCACCCACTGATTTAGCAGTTTTTGTTGAATCTAAAGTACTCCCCTCAGCAGTACAACATCAAGACACTTCCTAGGGATTTTTCGGCAAAATTTACATTAAATCCTACTTCCTGAAATCACCAGCGTTACTTTCCGCTCAGTTACTGGTGTGGCCAGTTGAGGTTTCACCTATAGTGCACCAACAGTGCTAAAGGACCTTCACGGGACCACGGAGCCAGGACCCACCCAGGTGCAGAAAATGCAGCCGCAGGTCTGCAGTCTGCTCATCGCAGCTGATGCGCAGTCGGTGAGGCACAGCTTGCAGAACATCCGCGTCTGCGAGGTGCCGGGGTCTGTCGGGGACTCGCTGCTGATTTCTGGGGTGGGATCCATCTCGCGTGCTTCTTGTTTTAGCTCGGCAGGCGCAAATGCAGGGAAGATGTATACTCCATACTTCTGCCAGGAACAGAAAGGTCGCCCCCAACTGTTAGGGGACAGGCACTGCAATCGCACAAAAAACAGGTTCCCTGTTTCTTGCGAAGACGAAGCAGGTCTAGAACCAGATAACTACAGGATATTGGTGATGCTTAGTTGTTAGCTTCTCAGTAAAGAAAACACTGGCCTTTGCTTCCTCTGTGAGGAAACCACCTGTTGCTCAATGTGAACCAAGCCCATCTGTGATTAATCAAATATATTCGGTAGATTTAAAACCAGTGAAATTCAACAGTGTGCTTGGGTTTCTTTTAGTAAAGACCTAAAGTGTATTTACATTTTATTATCAAATATAATTCTGTATCACACACTCTTAGCCTTGGGTGGTGGAGAATGTAACATAAAAAGCTGTCGGTTCTAGAGAAATTAAGCCATAATATTATGGTTTTCATTGCACAAGTGAGTTTAGTGACTTGTTGAATTAATTATTGGTTTTATTTTCCTAAAGCAGCTCACTACTTCTCATCTGGTGCTTCAAACAGTAAAGAATGTAATGATTTCAGAACCATTTGGGCTTTACTGGATCCTAAGTAAACCGAAGTTAATCCTAGATAAATTAATCTTCATCGGCCTGGAATTGAAAGATTTCCTCCACAGCTTCCCGCTAGAGATATTCTTCAGCGAATCCTTGACAGGTGGGCCTAAGTGTGCCCGTACAGATGGGTCAGTACACCTTCAATGACGCACTTCGCAGTATGACCCCCGCTGTCCTACACGCCCCCAGGGAACACTCTGACCGGCGCTGGGCAGATAAATCACCACACTAACCGTGCATAGAGACAATGATGAGAATCAATTCCATACAATCCGGTCAAAAAAGCTGAGGGGAGCCGAGGTCTAATCTCGGATCAAAGCGGATTAGACTGATGAAAATTGCGAAGGTAACAGACAGCTCCCTCCCCGGCGACTGGAAACCTGCTGATCGCATGTTACCGGTATCTCCACTGCATTACTTCCGGCAGTTTAATAAAGGGGGAAATTAATAATCGGATGGTGGGCTGGGACACCCCCACGAATGTGCATATTGATTTCTGCACTGTCATTGTCCTGCGGTGTGAAACGGCTGAATACGGCGTCGTGCGCACAGCGTCCCGGCAGGACCGCGCGATTCACCGCAAACGACCCGATCCATCAATGCAGCGACGCGCCGTGGAGTCCCTGGGTCCCCGGCTTCAGGGGACCCAGGAACTCCACGGAGGACTTCACGAGGAAAGGTCAAGTGCAATTTGAGAACACTTATTATATTATGGGCTAGCAAATAGGACAAAAGCTGTATCTGATGCAAAGCGGGGCTCACTTGCCACCCAGAAATTTACAACCGCAGTATTACAGGGCAAAGCTATGAGATGAAACCAACACAAAACAAAAATCCACCGGAAAAACAAAGAGTGCCGTGCAGTTCTTATATACAACAACAAACGGGTTTTTATTAAGTGCCACATTTAAATAGTCGAGTATTTAATATCCATTTAATGATGTTTTAACTGTACCCCGGAAGGCGGTTGGTCATCACACATGAATTAAATGAAATTGTGCAGATGACTGTACTAGGAATACAATTCACCCTGATTTATAAAAATGCAATAGCTATGGTAACATCTGAGAGCTATGAGTGGGTCATTCCTAAGAATGTTACAGAAGAAACATGCCCCCCCCCAACTTTTAACAAAAACTGATCAAAACAACCAGAAGAGTAGAGAAACATGCATATTTTCGCAGCCCCAACGCTAGGAAGATCTAATCCGCTTCAGATCGGCGAAGATTATGCCAGATTTCGTCCTTTTGGTTATAAGAAGACCTTATTTTTTATTCTAACACCCGTTTCATATTAAAAGGCCCATCTGACTATGATTAAGCGGCACGAAAATGTTGCACTGGTAGGTTCCGCGACCTTCCAACAAACGGATAATGCCGCGTATGGAAGACGATAATTAGGAGTAACCAAGCATCCAGGAGGCACCGGGTAAAAAAAACCCAGCTTCCGTCGATGCAGCGATAGGATAAACAGTGCGGATGAAGGAGCCGCATGCATATCGCCCTCACCTCACCGCGCCCGGCAGCCGCTCCTCGCCCGTCCCGCCGCCGCAGTGCTGGCGCATCGGGGTGTCTGCAGACGAGCACGCCAGGCGACGCCAACGCACACCTACCGAAAACGGCCGCGGCCACCTCCAGCCGCCCGACGCCGAGAGCCGCAAAGTCCGCTCCCCTGCAGTCAGGGCGCCTATGCTGTAAATACCCCCAGCCCCGATCTCGGCGCCAGGGTAAAATACAGCACTTCCTACTTCCTCATCCAGCATAGAAGCCAAGCTGCTTTTTCTTTTAACTCCTTGTGTATTGATGCACCATAACACGGATGGGTGATAAAGCCTTTTAAAGACTACATGCAAATAGATACTGTTATAATTCTTAAACGTCTCATTTGCTTGTTTTGGATCATATATGAGCTACATATTATTGGCCTATATATATTAATACAGCCAAACCAGAGCAAAATTATGAACATCATGGATAATAAACTCTTATAATAACAGCATTTTAAATGAAGATTATTACCATTATATTTATTTTATAGGAATAGTTAAAAACGGTTTGTACCTGAGAAATTTCTTTCCTAATTCTTACATTCTCGTGTGTTTTTGTGTAAATGGGGTTTATGCTGAAAAGCCATTACATTGATATGTGTTAGGAATTAATATAGTGATTTACCTGTTGTGTCCCGACGATGTGCTGGGTAAGTCCATTCTTTGCCGATGCTGTCCTTAAAATATATCACGGAAACCGGACAGGTGGCATTGTTCAAAACAGGGAATTACCGCCCCCTGTGAACTCAGCGTAGAGACGCCTCCTTCCTCAGCGCGCTGCCTAATTAGTCATTTTTTGGGGTTTCTTATACATTATTATGTATTTTTATTATGTATCATTTATAGGAGTATAGCTACTAATCATTCTGTCAAATAGGCCTAATATATGAAGTCCAGTGTGGGACACAGGCCTAACTGTTAAATAAGGAATAATGACCTGACAGTAATGACGTTAACAGAACAAATCGGTCATTTAAATATTGATAAGTTTGGAGGCAATGTAATTTAATGTTAAATAAAGTTAAGCCGAAAGTTAGAAGGTTAAATGTATTCGACCTTCTGTACGTTTTTTAGGCAGAGATCCAAACAGGCAGTAAGGATCATAGATGTAAAAGCAATTGCACCCCCTACTGATCAGATAAAAATTCTACTCCGACATATTGAGTCTGATACAGTGTAATTATATTGTAAAGTTTAATTTGTAATTTTGGCATGTTAGCCATAACAATGTATAACAATAATTTATTGTAAATGTATTTACTATTTTTACAAATATATTTATCTTGATGAATGACTGGTTGGGCTGTCTTTTTGTGTCTTTTTAATATAATTATTCAACAAAATCCACAGAATTATTTCATTGAAATAAAGATGATGATCAAATATGGCCTACTGTACTTTACTGAGAAATAATGTTCTCAGCAAGTATTTTATAAGCACTTAATTTTACACCATTATCAGTTTAGATTTTAAAAAAGTTATTTGGAAAAATTAAGTTTTATGTTTACCCGAGTTACTCTGCCTTCAGAAGCAAAACAATACATCGTATCAAATAGGAAAACAAACTGTTGAGCACTTTTTAATATGTTTTCTAATAAAAAAAAAACCCTTTACTTTTTCAATATCTTCATTTATGTTCCAGCTTCTCCATGGTTATCTCTTCCATTCTCCTATTTTCTCCTTCCTTCCCGGAAAAGTACAGTCACTCTATCCACGATTGCTGAAAGCTCTCTGCCTGAGGCAGCAGTATCACAATCTGATGTTTGGCTCCAGCACCTACGAAGCATGTTTGGATTACAGCTGACTCTGAAGAGAGCGAGAGCTTCTTGCTGACCGGAAAGTTACCCGCCGTGGGTCTGCTTCCTGCCAGCTTGAGAGTTTTTTTTATGGACCTGAGAGAAAATGAAAAAAAACAAGATTGAGAAATTGAAACACGGTCTATTTAAATAGCATATTGACTGTAAACCTTTTGACATAATGGAAGCTGCATTTATAAATAGCATTTAATTCTCTGCTGATTGAGACACCATTGCTATTCTAATTAATGGCAAAGATGAAGATTGTTACCTATTGTACCAAATTTTATTTGGAGCTTTATTGTCGGTTGCCGGGGACACTATTAGTTATCACACAGACAGGGGCGTGGGGGTGGGGTTCGGGCAGGCAGGGGGAACGTCTAGTTCCAAATATTTAATTTGGATTCATGAATACCCCTGAATAAATAGGCCTTTTTACATAAATTATTAAGTTGCCCCTCCTATGCCTTTGCATACAGATCTGGAAATGGGGAATAGTATAAATCTGACACCTGGCAGGTAAAGGACTTTTAAAGGATATTGTTTGCTAATTAAATCAATGGGGGGGGGGCTGGTCTTCTTTGACACACTGCATAATGACTCATATTTATAACGAGCAAAAGCTGCAAGGCGAGATATATCTATACCCCCATCTGAATTTTCATCTGATGCAACAATTCCCCACGGTAATCAACGATGCTGCATTCATCAGAGGATCCAGTTACCAAGAACGTGGTTGTTATGGTCGAGAGTAGTTGGTTAGGCATCTGTTTCCTGGGCTCTGTTGATTTGGCCCTGACCTTGCAATCTGACTCTTCCACTTGTGCTGAATGATCCAAAAGAATTCCCTGGCCAGCCTTGGACGCTCCGCGGTTTTTAAAGAGGCCGCTTATCTCATCAAAACGTCCCCGTCTTCCCATCTATTGCTCCGGAGCTTCAGCGGTACACTCTGCGATGATGTCATCACTCCTCCAGGATTAATTACGGGTTAGCTGAGGTGATACTGGGATCTAAAGAGATTCTGTTTTTTCAGATTATCAGATCATAAGCTCCATGAACAGCTCTGTGTATGATGAGCATTGAAGATCTAGGTACCATGAATACAATACTGTCACGAAAAGACTCATATACTCCGTATAGTTAGTACTGTCTTGAGATAAATGCATACCTACCTTTTAAATAAATATCTAGGAAAAAAAACAACTTCTGAAAATGTAAATAAGACTAATTTTTGCAGTGATCTGCAAAACAATGAACAGGTCTAGTGCATAAATCTGTCGAATTATTATAACGAACACGAGCTAATGCCTATGGCATGAGGTCTTATAATGACCCATAACAATTACGCTCACCTTCATCTATCCAGTCTAAAAAAGAAACCGCGTTTGTACATCCCAAACCACACCGGCCAACAAGGCGAATTCTGGTCCTAATGATGTCAACTTATTTACAGAACAAGGACGTCTGAATACATGTGTTTGGCAATCGGCTTTCTAGTATGGGGTTATTCTTAACAAACATTTTAAATAATACAGATCGATAGATGCGTAAAGTTCAACACGGAAAGAAGACACAAATAAATATAGGCCTATGGTCGATATAGAGAATCAAAACTGCAGGAAAAAATATATAAAAAATATTGCATCTAAAATAACTTTAAAAATTTGAAATCTTTCTTTCTACAAGCATGCGTGTGCGCCTATCGTGTAGCACTCGCGGAGCTCGCGGTTAAATCGACATGTGCAGGGCGCCCTTTCGGTCTCCGCATCTTGGTTGTAAACCAATCTGTCAGCCGCCATAATGAACATATTTGTCGTCATGCGGTGAAGTAAAAATAGAGTCGTGATCTGATTTAAGAAGGATCGGGAGTATCACGATGAAGTATAGACTACTATCATCTAGGAGAAGACCCAAGAGACTCGACGGGCTTCGGGGCCACTTCCTTCTCCGCGATGAACTGCTTGAGCAGGAAAGAGCACTCCTATCTGGTCAATGCCCACTGCGAGGTAGAAGAGAGCAATGTGGAGAAAAGGGAGGGCTGTTATTTTGCCTGGCTGGACCTGGTGATGGAAACAAGACCAGAACAAAAGTAAGTCTACTGATTATCTCCTGTTGCAAGAAATCGGCGCTTTGTCGAGAACTTTTTCAGCTTAGCGAAGATATTGGTGTCATTCGTTCTTGATTTAAACTGGTAGAGTTCTTGATAAAGTGCCGAATATAAATGATGAACGTAATGCCACCTGGATATTTTATATGAAAAATGTGCCGTGCAGACTAACACTGCAGTTACATCAGTACACTATACGTAATGTTATAAACTTAAAGTATTGTAGGTGTCCTGTAATGGCTGTGGCTCGTAGATAGAACAAACGGATTCATTTTCAATCACTGATTATAAAACGGTCTATGACAGTCGCATATCGTTATAACATCCCGTTTTTCCTTTTTTGTTTGCTGTCCTTAGCACAACTTTATCTGAAAATATGACCCGGCCAAAAGAGAGCTACACTCAGAGGCAAGTGGATCACTTTTTAGTGCAAAGGTCCCTGGACCAGAGGATCCGAATGGGCAGGCTGGGGCAGAGAATGGAAGAGTATCATCTGCCGTACCGGAATGTGCTCCCAGTGCCCATGTTCGTGCCCTGGAATGTGGCATCGCTCCGGGACTCGCAGCGCACGCCCACCCCTGAGCTGGAGAGAGGGCGGTCAAACGGCTTGTGTGCAGACAAGAAAGATGTCTCAGAGATCACAAAAGACATACCCAAAGTCGTCCAGCCAAGCCGGGTGGACTTCCGAGCGTCTCTTCTTATCAGCCCTCCAGGAGAATCAATCCGGACACTGCAGAGACGCTAGGGACAGCTTGCGGCCGCCTGTTAATTGTGTCCAACACTTAACAGGCGGGTGATTTTGGATCGGGTGAAATTAAATAGGTCTATAAAAATGCATAAAATCTCATTATGTATTCTAACCAGTGCCCAGGCTTTATTTTATGGCTTCTGGTTTGAAAGTTTTTTTGTGAAATATTATAAGTGAAGCGGACAATATCGGCTAATTTCTGCGAATCTCACTTCACCAGTAATGCATGACACATAAATACAAAAATATAACAACAATAATAATAATTTAGATTGTGATATACATTTAGTTTAATTTTATAAAAAAATATTTAAAGCCTAATTTCTGGTAAATATATTTGGTGCCACAGTAGGGCCGTTTGCCCTCACCCTCAAAATTGGGGTTTAAATTCTTTTTCAGTCTACATGCTCTGCTTTTGTCTCTGTGGATTTCCTCCGGATTCTCTGGGTTTTCACCAGCAGACACACTGGTACACACTGGTAGTTAATTGACATCTTCACTTCGCCTGTACTTTCTGGATTTGTGTACTTCGGTGTGTGTTCAGATAGACTGCCATTCTGGCCAGGATGTATCCCTGTTTCACACTGCCTGCTTCAGACTCCAGCAATCCCAGATTCTGACCAGGATAAGTACTCAGAAGATGGATATTTGCTGCTAGAAATATGGAGCATAACATAATCGTATAAGCTTGATACGCCATATTTATGTTTGCATTATATTTTAAGTGACAATGTAGCCAAAGAAAAACAATTCAACTATAAAGTGTGTAGACTGTAGACCAATCACCACACTGCTACAATCTTAGTATGCTGTAACAGTCCTAGTATGGTTTTCAAAAAAAGACAGAATTACCATGGTGGTTTTTTCCACATTGAAATACAGTACTGTTTTGGGCCAAATATTATACAGCCCAGACTATAATTCGACCTGTCCTGACGACAAACCAAGTCCATACAGGGAAGGATACAGGCAAATAGCACAATAGGGTTGGAAACGACGAAAGACGTACCTGGGCAGAATCAGGACGGATCCGGAGGACCAGCAGCGACCCCCGCTGGTCATACCGGGAAATTGACAGGATGGGTTGTGACACAACGCCCCACTTTTTGGCAAATGTATTTGGAAAATGTTCTAGGAATTACTAAAACTAACAGGGAAAACGAGAACCAAATAAAGAAACCATAAAATAACACCAGAGAACACAGCAACACAGACAGCAGGACTAAGAAACAAAGAGAACTCCTAACGCACAGGGACAGGGACAGGGACAATGACAGACTACAGAACAGCAAGGACACAGGCACTTAGAGACACACAGGCAAGCAGAGCAAACAAGGGACAGGTGAACGTAATAATCAATTAACCAATCAGGGGCAGGCAACAGGTGAACAGTTTACAATTAACAAGGAACAGGAACCAGGGAATCTAACAAACACTAAGGTAATACCACTGGAAAAGACTAGGAACACAAGGCTACACAAATAGAAAACCAGGCACAGCAGGGTACGTCAAAAGCAAAGACAAAGACAAACAACACCAAACACAGGAAAAACTGGTAATATTTAAATCACCAGAAGGACCAGAATGTTTATAGTCTTAAGGGTGCACACTCAACTAATTGGGCAGTCTGAGGAACAGGGGAAATGCACCAGGAACTTAGAACTAAAACAGAGGAGGGAACAGGATGGTCAGCAACACCTGCTGGTCAAGCAGGGAAGAGACATGAAGGGCGGGACGGACGGGCGCTGACCCTGACATCATCATAGAGGAGAGTCTTACTGTAACACTCTTAGCAAAGTACAAACTAATTTTCCAGATGGGCACCATTTCCTCACATAACCAGTATGCCAAGCTATCTACATCGTTATGTGGTAGAATCAAAACAGTCGTTACAAATTTGAATATTCAACTTGACTAATTTCATCTAGCAGCAAAGGTAGCCTCCTCTTCACCATCCTCTTCCCCCCCTTCTTCATCATCACCACCCTCATATGCATCATTTGGATATAAAATACAGTGTTGATGTATCAGCATAAATAAAACTGCCAAAAGCTGGTGATTATTTTTGAGTTCTGAATTATGAACCGCATGATCTACACCTGCTTCATTATGCACTTCTGATTTTGAATTCATAAGAAAATGTTTCCAAAAAAGAAATCCTGAACGTCAACAGGAGCTTCCAAGAAAAACACTTGCCAAATGGTGGACTGGATGGAATAATGACTCATTCGTAATTCTGGGCTGACAGGTAAGTCAAATATCAAATCTGGTTTTACACTCTCCGTTACAAAATGCAATATGTAAGTCAGCAATTTCCACTTTATTTGTATTCAACAGATGATAAGATAATGTCTAACAAAAAGAAAGTCCCATCATATTTTCCATTTGAATGTTTTGCTTCAGGACAAAATATGCTTCAAGATCATTTCAGTTTTGTTTTGCAAATAGCACATTATTACTAAATATATACATTTTCCTTATTTATTTTTTTCTGAAATGTCATTGTAAATACAGTCTGAGTGAATGAATATTTCTTGGATTTATGTAATACGGTTGCATGTGTTGCACTGTTAAGTATTGGACAAGCAGCTATGGATGACTTTATGCTCAAATACAACCCATCTCTATACAGCTACCTCAAAGTGTTTTATGAAAGCTTAAGCGACTACAACACCAAAAGCAGATTGAAATTATCAAGCTGTCGAAGGTAATCACAAAAAGAGTGGTATAATGTACCATTATCTTTTAATGATATACTGATGTAAGAAAAACCATGCCTGGTGGACATGGATGGCATCGTCTTACAGAATGCTGAAGTGTCCCACTCTGATCCCAGGCCAGCTTTAGATCATTGTAGGCTGTCCTCAGCGTAACAAAGCTAAGCATCAGTAGGCTTTTAATGAAGCATCGAGGGTTTTTACCATTTTGATGGTGTAGTGAGTGGCTCTGTGGGTTAAGGCACTGTGCTTGTTATCAGAAGGTTGCTGGTTTGGATCCCAGGCTTGGCAGAGCAGTTTCAAACAGGGCCTAATTGCTCTAGTGACTTTCTTGTTTGTTATTTTGGACAAAAGCATCTACTAAATAAATGTAAACTGTTAATGTACTAATTAATGCAAGGACAATGATTTAGGGTTACAGACAATTAACCTAAAAGCTGAGTATTTAATTAATACCATGAATGAGAGGATAGCAGAATATTATTCAGTACTCAAGAAAAAAAAACACAAAGAATTACTTGATAATTTTATAATTTATAATTTACCACAGCACACACCCTAACCTAGAATTCAGTGGACAAATTGATAATACACAGCTCAAAGGTACAACATCACACCTCAAACATCATCCACTTCAGATGTCTGTCTTATTTTAACCATGATTTAAGAGTTAATTGGTAATACACCTATGACCTTATGTGGCACTGGACTTCTGGTGTATGATCTGTAATGAAGGTCGATGGTGATATTTCCATGCATGAATTCAGTTGCAGTTTTGAGTCTGTGTCTAAAAATGCAGCTAAACCTGTACATAAATGCTTATTTGCCATTATTCTCCAAATGAACCACAACACCTTTCTGTTACAGTAAAGTGCACTGGACAGTAAAACAGCAACACAAAGCATGAGCCACGCCATTTTCCCCGCCTTGTCTGGTGAAACATCTCCTTTCGTTTCCTTTGTTAAGTTCTTGTCCTGCTCCCAGCTGGGTCCTCGTTTGGCTGAGCGGCGCCCATCGACCGCTCTGCCCGCCTGTGTTTCTGCAGCGTCACCTGCAGCTGCCAGTATCTCAGATAGAGCCACATCAGGCTGCCGTTCTTACGCTTGTCTGTGTTCATGAGGTCAGCGCAGTGCCGATCGTTCCTGAAAATGTCCTTGAGGTCACCTTCCATGTTCAGCTCCATGGCCAAAGGTTCCTTGGCCGCCTTGACCAGAAGGTTCTTCTCTATCTCCAGCCGTCGGTCTCGGGGGAGAAGGACACTGCAGTAGGCATCCTGTCGCTCCACCAGGCCCTGCTCGAACTCCTTCAGCAGAGCCTTGGCCCTCAGCTCCCACATGTTCTCCCTCTCCAGCATGCTCTGGAAGACGGCACCGGCCGCCCCGGTCTGTAGGAGCCTCGTCTTCTCTGCCTCCACAGTCTCTCGCTCTCGCTGCAGCCGTTTTCGCTCCTCCAGCAGCTGCCGGCTCTGAGAGGCTATGGCCTCCCGGTAGCCTTGAACACGGTGACGCTCTTTCTCCAGCTCCAGCTCCAGATGTACTGCTGTCCTGCGGTTCTCAATCAGGGTCTCGCGGTACTTCCCTTCCAGCTCGCTGGTGACAGCTTTCATGTCTCTGTCATACTGGTCTTTTGCCTGCTGGATTTCCCTCTGAGACTCTCTGGTCCAAATCCACCCTGTGAAGCAATTTAGGTTCAAAAGTCAATTATACCTTAATAAACACTGTGCTTTATTTGCATCTGAAATCCTTAAATTATTATTTTTTAAAATGTCCTACAAGTTTGCCACTTCAAACTAAGTCACATACTCAGTGTAGAAAAACAAAAAAAAATCTGCATGGCAGGACAGCTAAAGGTGACGAATGGTTATTATACTTACGAAAGGCAGCCAAGCCGAGCAGGGGGACAAGAAGGGCGTAATTCCATTTATTACTGCCCCCGTCCCCTCGCTCATCGGGTCTGATGTTCCATCCTGGGGGATCATTCAGGTTGTTCATGGAGACGCCCTGATGAGACATAAACATCCTTAAAACATACAGTGCATGCATCCCGATCCGAAAGCCGCCTTCTCTTACTAAACCGGCTTTGTACAGTATAACTGAACTACTGTGTCTAAAAATGTCTCGCTGCAAAGTTGCAAAACTGCACCAGTTATTTATTAGATTGCTCTATACAAGCATATTCAAAATATTACCGTCGGCTGCTCGTGGTTAAATAGCTTATTGCATCGGACCTTTGCTTATGCGTACTAAAATGAGTGTGATCCACCTTATTCAGGCCCATGCTCACAAAGCCGCAGTGGGTTCCCACTGCATTTCGAGCAATTGACGGGCTGCCATCTCCGCGGCCCAAAGTTATTCCGCTGGGCAGAAACACGGTAAGTATGAATACGAGCGATCAGCCAGCCGCTCAGTCCTGCTCACTAACCTTGGATTGCAATCCGCTTTCGTCCAGCCACCGCACATTCACTTTGCCGAAGCTAAGACAAGCGTTATGTAATTCCTGGTTTGCGCGATTTGCGTAAAGCTGTCGGTTCGTCTCGCAGGGAGAGCCGTTTTAGAAAATTCTAGGACTCGCGTAATAGAGATAATGTTAATATCATTTTTAAGCTTTTAAAATATCAAGTTTTAAAGATTTAATAGTTTATGTAGTTAAGCTTGAACATATCTATGAACTTTATAATATTTACTATATGCCTTTTCTACGTTTCCTCTATATATTTGAGCAAATGGTATGTTCCAATGAGAGGCCCAAACAGAGCGCTGCGGTGCGTTTTACCGGTGGGTTATTCGTACCGGGTTTTGTCTGTAGAATAATATTGTTCTGCTCATTATGTCTTTTTTTGTATTATAGTCTGTCATTACTTCGTAGTTTATAAATATTTTATAAGAAATACACTTACACAAATTAATTTGTCTTCTTTGCCTGCAGAAGTTCTACGTACGGATAGAATTACCTGCCGAGATGTATCTGCAAACGCACTTGGACGTGTATGGGGAATTTCCAGAACAGTTTTAATACAAAAGCATTCGTTGTATAGAAAAGCTAACGGAAATCTCTATGGTACCCACATTTATAAAAGTAAAACTTCATTTTAACAACGTGAAATGTTCAGGTACTACCAATGCAACACAGTTTTAAATTTAATTCCTATTTACAGTACTGTATGTTAACATGCATATGTCTATATATAACTAAAAGTGGAATGTTTTGTGTGCTTGTGTTGGTAAATATTGTAGTTTTCTGTTAATTTAGTAATTGTAATTGGGTGTTAAAATGAGCAAATATATTTAAATATGACTCAATGGATGTTAATATTTCTGTTTTATGCAATGAAAAAATATTTTCATCTGCAGTAAATGGTTCCTGTGTTTTGGGTAAGTAAAATATGATAAATTAACATTTGGTGGATGATCAAATATTTATTTTGTTGCCTTTTTAATGGCACATGAATCCAGCTTTAGCCTTAAGTCTTCAATTATTTTTCCTGTAGATTTTAATACGCTGGTCTGGCATTTTGAATGATGTTCAATATAGGTGCTCTTGAACAAAACATAATATTAGTCCAGTGAAGGGAACTCTTAATGCTTCAGCGTATCAAGACATTTTGGACAATTCTCTGGTTCCATCTTTTTTGGAGCAGTTTGGGGAAGACACTTTTCTGTTTCAGCATGGCTATGCCTCAGTGCACAAATCAAGTTCCGTGGTTGGGTGAGTTTGGTGTTGCTTTTGCCTTTGACTGCTGCCTGATCCACCTAGCACCCGACCCCCTGGCAGGAGGAGGGCCCACAGGGTAGTGGATCCACATAACTCAGAGGCCTGACCACCAGATGCAAAAAGACAACAAACGTAGAGTATATCAGAATTTTACTAGACATTGCATCGGATTAGCTCCAGTATCTTAATGGGAATAAGTTTGTGTTCGTTTCGCCTTCGGCAGCGGTTGACCTCTATAGTGCGTCTTTTCTTGGGGGCCGCCGTCCACAGTATGCTGTCCAGGAATGTGCTCTGGCCGCACTCCTCACTCTCAGACGGGCAGTTTCACCGTTTCGACTCGTCCGGGGATGGCGTCCCCGAAGGCTTTCCCCCGTCCCCTTCATGGTGCGTGCAGTCTTCCTGTGGGCAGCTACATCAGAGCTACTCCCGCGGAGAGCAGAACGGTATCATGTCTGTTTATTTCGAGCTGTTGTGAGTTTTATGGTGGCTTGAGTGCCAATCCTGCCACCAACTGCCAAAATTTTAAAAAGTTGGAGTATCACTTGCAGTTTAACGTCATTCCCAGGACACACCATACCCAGTGGCCAGGATGGATTATCTCATTCTTTTGGTTTCTGATGTTCAGTGTTCAGAACAAAATACAGGCTCTGGTCCTCCAGTCTGTGAATCAGAGTATTACTCAAAACAACCAGCTTGCTACAGGGCACGAAGAAGCAACAGGACCAGATGATGAGGGTGCTTCAACTTCAGCTGAGAGAACTTCAAATAGATCTCTACTAACTTTTGATTCACTGCTTGGCTGTGACTCAAGAGACAGCGACAATGATAACACTGAAGAAGATGCTCACAAACAATTACCAATGAAGCAAGATTTATTTATTTATTGAAATAAGAATAGTGCATATTAAACATTTCAGATGTAGCCAAGTGGCTAATTTTTATCTGTTATCCCATGCCAGGTGTTGATGTTCTTTGGAGAGCAGCCCATTCATTCTTGTGTATTCCTGCTACCTCTACTCCCTCTGAGCGTCTCTTCTTAGCAGCTGGGAATATTGTCTCAAAGAAGAGAGCCAGTCTCACACCAGAGCATGTCGAGATGCTCACGTTCCTGCACTGCAATCAGGAATATATAAATTGAATATTTTATACATTGTTTTATTTTATTTGAATTGAAGTTTTATTTAAACTTTTGGACTTTGTCACCAATGTGCACTTTAGTTTGTATCTAATGCATTTCTTTTGTATTGTGATGGTCACACTAATATAAAAACATCTGATTATTTTCAAATTCATATGTTTAACTGGTTGTTATTTTAATTTGATTATTACAAATTTGAATCGTCTTAATGAAGACACATCAGGGGGACATTCACAGGGGGACAGACGTGAGCAGATGAGGTAAGACATGCACTGGATGTGCAACCACAGGTCGCAGGCATCAAAATAGTCAGGCATTAAATAGTCATGACTAATCGACAAAAAATTAGAACGATTAGTCAATTACCAAAATAATCATTAGTTGCAGCCATAATAAAAATGCAGCTAAACCTGTACATAAGTGCTTGTTTTTTCCCTTATTCTCCAAATGAACCACAACACCTTTATGTTACAGTAAAGTGCACTGGGCAGTAAAACAGCAGCACAAAGCATGAGCCACACTATAGAGGCTTTCCTGTAACCATCAGAATGGATGGCCAAGTGTTCTCAACAAGCTTTAAGTAACCAATGTCCAAGCGGTCTCTGCAGTTGGGTGATGTTCCCGTTTATTCCATACCTTCGGTTGACATAAAAGGACCTTTTGCTTTTACATAACAAACTTATGTGCTGGCGGCGTGCTGTCCATGCCATGCTCCCTTACAGGTGCTACGGTAAGAACCACCTCCACCATCCGCACCGTCCAATTGGAAAACACCTATTCATCCCCACCTGTCTTCACGTGATCAGACCACTCCATGCAATACATCCCCCAGTGGCCGAAATCCATAATACACCCCAAAGTTATAAATGGCTCCCACACACGCCGTTTTCCCCACCTTGTATGTTGAAACATCTGCTTTTCTTTCCTTTGTTAAGTTCTTGTCCTGCTCCCAGCTGGGTCCTGGTCTGGCGGAGCGGCGCCCATCGAGCACTCCACCCTCTTCTGCTCTGTCTGCTGCTTCACGTACTGCTCCCAGTTTTTCAGATAGACCCACATCAGGCTGCCGTTGTTGCGCTTGTCTCTGTTTCCGAAGCAAGCACAGTGCCGATCATTCCTGAAAATGTCCTTGAGGTTATCCTCTATGTTCAGCTCCTGGGCCAAAGGTTTCTTGGCCACCTTGTCTAGAAGTTTCTTCTCCATCTCCAGTCGGCGGCTTTTCCGAGAAAATTTACTACAGTAGATGTGCTGCCGCTCCATCAGGTCCTGCTTGATGTCTTTCAGCAGATCCATTGCCTCTGTCTCCTGTTGGACACGGTGACGCTCGTCCTCCTTTATTTGCTGGATTTTCCTCTTGTAAGTGTCCCAGATCCACCCTAAGAAGCAATTCAGGTTTAAAAGTCAGTTGTTTCATAATAAATACAGTGCTTTAATTGCATCTGAAATCTATGGAAGCCCTGAAGGGCAAAACATGCCAGCAAATATGAAAACACTACATTATTACCGGCACTGAAAACGGAAAGGGTATGTACCTACTGATCATCACATGCTTATTACCTGTCAATCAGTCATAACTAGTTAATCCAAAGGTACATCTTTACATACCAGATGCAAGTAAAAGATAAGAGAAAAGAGATGTCATTAGATGTGACCATACACATTGAAAGCTAAAGACTTTGATGGTTGTGAGAAATCCGCAGTAAGTTATGAGGATATCGTGAATAATATGGTTTTTCAAATGTTGCGAGTGACTCTGAAGTGGATGAAATATTTTGGCCTATTCAAAGGTAAGTGCAAGTATAAATCACTTGCTTACTCATCATCAATTATTATAAATCATCATTATCTTAATTTCAAAATGAAATGGCAGCGTCAAGCCATTACTTTGTTCTGGGCTGTAATGTTTTCATTGTCGTTACAACAAATCTGGTTTTATCACACATTAGTGAATGCATCTTATAGGTAAATTGCAGATCGATTTGTTTCATGGTCAATTCATTTGCTGTTGTGTTCTTACTCACTAGGTCAACCACTCCCAGAGAACTTTTGTTACACCCAGAAGAACCTGATTCCTTGCCCAGAAAGATGGAGAAGTTCACACTTTTGGGTGTACTGTTTGCATATTTATTTGCACTTTTATCAACTGTCTTTGCATTCTGCCTAACCTGCACAAACTTAAGCGTACTGAATATATTTATTGTTCCACTCCCCACATCGCACTGTCCCATCTCTTATTGCACTGTTTATACTGTTCTGTCCTGTTGCCCTCCATGTACCTGTTCCCTCCCCTGTAACTGTGGCGCAAGAATTTCACTGTTTCACTGAGTTCTATAATGCATGGAGATCAAGTGATTGTGATTTAAGAGATTTCTCATTGACCTGTATTTAAAGGCACAGTATGAAACAAATCTCCAACTGGCACCACGAAGGAAGCAGTCATTATTCGGTTTGTCAGTACTCGGTGCTTTATTTTCCAAGTTCCAGAAAATTCTCACTCAAATGGAACAAGACTGACATTTAAGGCATATTCTCACTTTTTTTTGAGCCTCTTTTTCTTCCTCTTTAATATTTAACATTTCCAAAGGTAACGTATCATACAAGACTCAATATTTCCTCCCGACAGGCCTGATCACACTTTCTACATGGATACGGAGATTTACAAGCTTTCTGCGTTCCTCCACATCTTTGACAGGCACCCTTGACATTGTCTAGCTCACATGTCATAGATCTGATTCATGTGATTCCAAAAAATCACAAAGAGTCAGATCAGTCTGGCATCCAACCCCTGTTCCAGGATCATCTGCAGTGGGTTTCAACGCAACACTAAGTTATAACATAAATTTCACACCTTATCATTAGGTGTAAGGTCCATCATTAAACAAAAGTGGTGAAAATGGCACAAATGTGAATAACTTAAACCTTTTTTGTTTTTAACATGCAATAGTATAGCCTACCGTTATCAGAGAATTTTTAATAACTTGTTACCTTTTCCACTGATTTAGAATAAAACAAGGTTGCCGGCTTGATATGTATACCTTAGTCTAGTCAACTAATGGCAAGCTAGATAAATTTGTTGCCCTGTAGTTATTTGGTGTGAACCCCATTTGTATTCCTTGAGCTTGAGCATCTCTTGTAGCAGAGCGACTGTCAAGCACCTACAATAAATGTCTATGTAACTTTACCACTACAAATTTCAGAAACACATTAGTGGTGTAAGTACAAAGCAATTGATCTGTGATCAGAACGGATCCCCCTCGGTTCAGAAGCGCATGATGTGAACCGCGGATTTAACTAAAAATTACTGTGAAATGAGCCAAATGGTAAGTTTTGTGATCCGCTGTGCCCCTAAACCATACCTAGGAAGCTACCTAACGAACACACTTCTAACATCGCACCAAACACTGCACATTACGGGTTTTATTACAGCCGTGGTTGAAATACTTCCCGCACATACAGAGGAAACAAATCGGTAGCTATCTAACACCCAAACTCAACAAACGTGGAATAGCGAGTTGGTTCCATTAATGTCAGACAATGTCACTGATTAGTTGATGAATCTGGGCGACAATATTTACAATTTTATTTAGCAGCAACTAAGTACAGAGTAACTTAAGTAGCAGTGGTGCAACCGACGAAGAATATATAGCTTGCTAGTTTCAACTACTGTAGATTAGAAAAATAAAAAATTCTGCATGGCAGGACAGCTAAAGGTGACGAATGGTTATTATACTTACGAAAGGCAGCCAAGCCGAGCAGGGGGACAATAAGGGCGTAATTCCATTTATTACTGCCCCCGTCCCCTCGCTCATCGGGTCTGATGTTCAATTCTGGGGGATCATTCAGGTTGTTCATGGTAACGCCCTAATGAAACAAACATCCTTGAAATATACAGTGGTACCTTGAAATACGATCTTAATTCGTTCCAAATAGCTGGTTGAGTTGTGAATTGGTCGAGTTCAAAGTCGAATTGCCCCATAAGAAATAATGTAAATGAATTTAATCTGTTCCTGACCCCCAAATGATTGCCTAGTTAAACTGAATTTTCCGTAACACCTGTTCGGAAGCGTGAGGCCAGGCGGTATCAACAAACAACACGTTTTTTCTTTTGAAGAATATGCGTAGATCTGTTGGATAGAAATGCTAATGTAATTCTCTTTGGTATTCATATTTATAAAAATAAACTTCATTTTAACAACGTACAATGTACAGGTAGCACCAATGCAACGCAGTTTTAAATTTAATTGCTATATACAGTGCGGTATGTTAACATGCATATGTCTATGTATAACTACAAGTGGAATGTTTTGTGTGCTTGTGTTGGTAAATGTTGTAGTTTGTTAATTTAGTAATTGTAACTTGGTGTTAAAATGAGGTTCCAAGCAAATATATTTGCGCTTGACTCAATGGATGTTTATATTTCTATTTTATACAATGAAATTTTTTTTTTCATCTGCACTAAATGGTTCTTGTGTTTTGGGTAAGTAAAACATGATAAATTAACATTTGGTGGATGATAAAATATTTATTTTGTTGCCTTTTTAATGGCAAATAAATCCAGCTTTAACCTTAAGTCCTGAGTTATTTTTTCGGGTAAATCGGGTAAATTTTTCGGGTAATACCTTGGTCTGGCATTTTGAATGCCGTTCAACATGTACACCCTAGAAGGAAACGTGATAGGTGATCGAGCAGGATAATTCAGATACGAAATTTATTTGTTTAACGTTGTGCAAAGAGTGTATTTCGAAACACTAACAAATCAAAATTAATTAAATTATTTAAAAAGCCTTTTATATATAACGATACTTATTTAAATAATGTCATGTGTTCATACTAGTCTAATTTGATATAGCAAGACGAGGACTCAGTCAGTGGTATTAGTTTATCTAGCCACTTTGAGTCCAGTAAATAGTCTCGGGTGCAATAAAATTAACATGCTTTCAAAATGAGGTTTATAATTTTACAACCATAAAATATACTGACTAATAATCGGAAATAAGTAGATTTGATTTTTTTTGGTATTACTCTGCTCTCTCTGTTATATGGACAGATATCCAGCAGCTAAACACTCTTCAAAAAAATCGTCAAGACTGTCATTTCGTTGAACCGAGCTTTTTGCTGTAAAAACTGTAAAACTGTAATAGATCAAAAGAAAATTCACATTAATTCCAGAATGCGCACATACTCTATGTAATTATTTCCACAAATTCGTAGCACATTTAGATTGGAAAATAGAAAAATACAAGCTAACAGTAATTAGCTGCTAGCGTGTTTCATACATCATTTCTGTACAAATTTACATTACTAGCACAAACTATAATGGTCACGAACATCTTAATATCACTTACGGATATGGTCTTCTGAAGATAGAATAACAAGAATGTAAATTAATGGTATCTAAAGATGGGTCTTTAGTGAGAGCGTCTGTGCTTCTCCTGGCAGGTACACAGACTGAACCAAAATTTCCTGAAAAATATGTTATGAAAAGCAAAGTTGCGATAGCCTACATAAACGCCCAATAGCTGAAATATTTCCAAAACATTCCCTGCCTGGGATAGTTACCATCCCCACCCTCCGTTCTTGTTGTCCAACCCGTTTGTCGTTCCCTGGAGTGTTCCCTTGCTCCCCATGCTGCCATGTAACTCAGTGAGTTGAGTGTATGGCTCAGAGACTGACACCCCTCCTGTTATGAGTCTGAAGCTGGCCTGAAGCCTTGTGTCATATTTTAATTCTATGTTATCCCTTGTAGTTTGTATAGTTAATTTATGTCTTGTTTATGATTACCCTGACTGTGATCTGTTTGACTGGTGTTTTGATCCACTGTTAATTGACCTCACCTACTCCTTGACCCCTCTAGTTGTAATAGTTCACACCTGCCCCTTGTTAGCCCTTGTTACCTGTATTTAAGTACCTGCCTTTGCCCTGTTCCTCACTCAATCACTGTAGTTGTTATTGTGTGTTTGAGGCTGTGGTTGGTTCCTAGTTGTTATATCGCGAGTCCGGGCGATCAGGTGTTCTGACAAAACATCCTACCTATCGAGAAGTGCTATCGAGCCTTTCTGCGCATGTTGACATGGATGTGTGCAGTTATAGAAAAGGCCATGATTAGAAATGAAAGTATCAGAGGTAGAAGAAAAATATGTGATATCTAAAGAATACA